TTCCTTCTTGTAAAATTAACCAAAGATCTGGTTATGTGTTTCTATCAAAAATGGAAAGTTATTTTAAATGAGCAATTATGTTTGCTGATTTTTACTTCAGCCGGACAAAGATCTATAAAATAGCTTCAGAAATCTATCAGGTAGGAACATAGAAGTAAAAGTAGAAAAGGATTTAAAAGAAAATGTATTTAGGGAGAGTTTTCTTTCTAATCCCAGTTTATTAATCTGCACAAAGTCTCCACCTAATAATTCAGCTCAATTCACTTCACTTTATTTGGTGTAAAACTATTAAATGTTGTTTAGGGAAGCACTGATCCACATTTTTACTGCAGATCCGATTCTGATACTTCAACCTGGATATCTATAGATCCTGATACTTTTCTGACACCATAGCTCTTGTTTGCTTTGATGTTATCATCATTACTGTCAATTTTCAGTTAGGTTATGTATGAATGCACTCATTTGTATCTCGAAATTCAACATGAGGTTAATAGAAGTTAAGAATTGGAACTCTTAAAAACAAAAACTCCTGTTTAAAGGACACATCTATCCTGAAATTAATATTCAACTGTAAGGGTTTCAAAACTGGATTTATTAAATCAAGGACAGACGTCCCATAAACAGAAAAACTTTTCTACTTGTAAATTCAAGAGCTTTTTAATTAATTTAAAAAATAGACTGAAAAGATCTGCCCCTATAGATCTGGTCGATTTTGTCCGCTACCTGATCTAGAATTTTGCTCGGATGCTTTAAGCATCCGAGCAAAATGAAGAAAGCTGTAAAATTCATGAAAGTCCAAATCAATCCATTTCAGTTTATTTATATCATCCAGACAGATTGATTCAAAGTTTTCTATCTAAGGAAAACCAGCTGATCGCATCGACCCATTGACTCTTCAGTAATCCCTCACACCAAGCGTGCTTCTAGCGACAGTGGAGAGGAAAACTCCCTTTTAACAGGAAGAAACCAGGCTCAGTGTGAACGGCCATCTGCAGAGGCTAACTCGGGTTCAAGGAGACAGATGCAGACATATGGAAGGAATAAAGAAGCACTGATCTATAAATACCTCCTATGTTAGAAAAGGTAACAGTAAACTTGCTAGACGGGTGGCTTTGTTTGGGAACGAAATATTTAAGCAGACAAGCTCTGAACACGTTCTCAATAGCTTGGTAAACTCCCCCTCTTTTATCCAACATAAATAACTACTCAAATACTTCCTCGATGAGTGATCCAATAATGTTACATTAAAAGAGACCTCCTTTGCACGTGGATCCAGAAAGTAAAAGGCTTACTTTAAAAAAATAAAAATGTACTTCTGGACCTTAGAACAGGGATATAAACTCACATCATCCTCTGTTTATGTTGATGCTGTTCAATGTAGCTCTATAATTCAAATATACTGAGTCACATTGCCAATGCAGTGGCATCAAATACTAATTTAGTGTTTAAACTGCTGATATTAGCTATTTCACAATTAATAAAAGTCTGGATTCATAACTGACAATAATACTTGGAAGATTGTTGTATCGAATAATTCCTCAAAACATGCCTTAAGCAGAACTGTTGGTGCAAACTAAAGCTCATAATGCGTCTCCCTAAAATGTCTGGCTTTGGAACACCTAACTGAAGCAGTTATGCACAATGTGACCTCAGATGATCTATGCAGCATGAGGAATAAAAAAAAAAAAAACACTATGGCATTCAGCAGTGACAGGAAAAACGTTCGAGAGATTTTTCTTTGCTTCCGCTTGCCTCATGAAAAAATCTATAAATAACAGCCTGTTTATTTATTTATTTCTGTATTTATTTTACATCTAAATGTCTTCAATCAGTCATGCTAGAGTCCTTGCTGAGCTGCTGCCAACAAATCAGAGCCGGGGGTGTTAAAACAGTCCTTTTATATTTATCGTTTCATGATTGATCAAAACAAGTCCCTGTATGCATATTTTTATAATACCAATTTGTCTAAAAATGTAGTGGATGTAAGAAGGACTCCTCCAGTATGCTGATTGCAGGAAAAATCTGTTTGATGAGGCGTCTGTTTTAAAAGCTTCTGTGCAACATCTGAAGACTAATTGGCTAAAATTGACTATTTTCTTTCACGTGTGCTGTCAGTCAAACAGTTGACGATCCCATCACATGTGTCAGCCTGTGCTTCATGAATACACTGTGACAGGCAGTGTGTGGGATGTCCCTTTGATCAATCTGCACTTGTCTGTTCTCAGCAGCTGCTTATTATTGCCAGGGTAAAAAAAAAAGGGCTGAAAACAAACAGCTCCATTCATTTGATCCCACTTGTCGTTCTTAGGGGCGATTCTGTCTGATTGTCATAACCCTGTGTTACAACGTTCTTAGAGGTGAAAAGATGAAGGTGAAAAAAAGTAAAATAAACCAACTATGAGTTTTAGAGATCATCTATTTTATTTCATTAGGGTCTTTTCAGTCATGTATATTTCAATTATTAGTGTTTTGTTGTTGTTATTTTTTTTTGTAAATGTAAATTGTTGTAGCGAAAGGTGGCAGATAACGTAACATTTTTCTTTCTGCTCCTTTATTTCAGGAGTTTAGACTGTATTTTATGTTTTGTTTGGAAACAATGGCTGGTTACGGATGTAGGCATGGGTGGTTCTAGACAGGGGCCAACGGGGGCCAGTGCCTCTGTAAATCATGTCCTGGCCCCTGTTATGGCCCCTGTACTGAAGAAATAATTCTTAAAGGAAATTCTAATTATGATATGCGCTGGAACAACAATGGTTACTAATAGGTCCTTTGAATCTATTTATTTTTTTTCTTTACAAATAATGTTTTATAAATTTTTTAAAAACAATAAGTTGATAGCTTCAGTGGTATTGAGATAGGATCCCAGTTTTCATCTGCTAAATGTTTTTTTTTCAAAACAAATATAAAAAAACAATTTAATAATTTTTACAGCTGAATTAATCAGCTTTTTTTTTTTAGCTCTCATTCAGATTTTATATAAAATGATAATTTTAACCTAAATTAAAGGTGGGGTATGTGATGTTTTCTGGAGCATGTTTTTACCATACTGATTGAAAACCTCCTCACGAGCCCATTGCGCCAACTGAGATAGAATGTTTGGAAAAAAAACGAAATCTTTTAGTCCAGTGTAGAGGGCGTAGTCAGAGGAAAACGCAAACCAATAGAAGTAACTATCATCCCTACTTCTACTGGTTTCTGGCACGCCCATCAACCGTCAGCTCTGAGCTCTCCCCACCCCTCCCCCCTGCGCGTTCACAGACTCGTGACCCCCCCCCCCCAAGTGCCGCTGAAGGGAGGGCCTGTTCGAATTTACAGACAGAACTCTTGTGGTCTCCTTATTTTCAAGGACTTCGAAGGGTCCAGTCTAGGTAGACCGCGTCCTTGGAGGATGCAGCCCAGGTTTTTGAACAGAGCCTCTGATTAAGAACAGGGCTGCCTGCACTGACGCGGCTCAGGGATTATGTCACACGGAGCGTCGTGCGCAGTGAAATCAGGACATTTCCTCACTTTCTAAAAAAAACCCCGGGACGCCCGGGACAGGACGTGAAATACGGATATGTCCCGGGAAATACGGACGTTTGGTCACCCTAATCAATACTTCTTGAAATGACAACCGTGACAACTTGTTTACGACCATATTGAATTGTTCAACACTCTTACCGTACTAGGAGAAGACGACGCCATCATGGAAGTTAGCCTGTTATGTTGTGGTTAGCTAGTAATAGACATGAGCTTCTCGCCTCATCCCGAGTCACGTGCACTCGCGAGGTCTCGGCCTGTTTCTTTCTCGTTCTCGGGAGCATCCGAACATTCTCGACTGACAGCAGGCGCGTTCATGTAATTTGGAGGCGTGGTTTCGTGGGGTGGGCTGAAGGTGTGTATTTTCAAAAATGTAGCTGGCAGGAACCGTTTATCCAGGATCATATACCCCACCTTTAAGTGAAAAATATCTAAAATCCCTAAATTATGAATGTATATTGACCTCATAAGAAAGAGAATTTTTATTAAACCTAATTGAATAGCAATTTCACTTCATGCATTTATTTTAATACATTTCAATCCTTGCCCTGTTTTTTTTATTTCATGCTTTTCTGTGCCCTAGGAAAACACTCTGGCCCCCCTCCAGGCCCCCAGGTACATTTGGTCTACAACCGCCACTGGATGTAAGGTTTATCAAAGAGTACAGAAATGAAAAGAAAAGAAAACCTCGACATTTATTTCACCGTGAGAGGAAGTCTATGTATTAAAATAAAAATTAGAAGTATATAAAGCATACTTAAATACTGTAGACGTTTATCTTTTTTGGGGGGGAGGGGTTTTAAATTGACACCGGAAGTCCAGTTCAGCTGTCGCTATGGTAACAGACAACACTTTTAACGTCAGTTTTTTTCTCTCCCTCTTTTAGCTAAACAAAGCAGAAAGCATTAAAAAAGACGTAGAAATATTTTGCCGTCACAGTTTGGAAGAAGTCAACTGAAGGAACCTTTGAGTAAATAAATGGATTCTGAGCGGAAAAGCAGAAGCAGCAGAAAACCGAACAGCGACAAATGCCTCCAACTCACTCCCACGGTAAAGACTTCCAGCTGTTATCTCTCGATTACTGCAATAAAAGTTTCACCTCAATGAAAAAGCTTCAGTTTAGAAAGTATGGAAAGCGAATGTAATCTTTTTTTGCTTTGTTTTTGTAGATCAACAGCTGCAAGCTGCACGTGATGTGCACCAAAACTTTGGCTGCAGAAAGGCTGCAGAGGATGGTGAGTCCTGATGATTGGGCTGAAACAGCTACGCTCATCCTGACATTATATGAAATTAGACTCTTTTTTTATGCTTTAAACTGATTCCTCTTTTATTTTTTTCTGTGATGCATTAGTTAAGGTTAACGTGGCTTATTTTATTCAGGCCAGTAATAAATCAACTTTGTTTAAAAAAAAACTTAACTATACATTGAAACAATAAAATAAAAACTTCTTCTGACCCTGCATATCCATGACTATTGGTTAATGTATCACATAACTAACCAACTAAATGTTAATAATTACTAAAAAATCATTTTTAAGTGCTTTTTTGAAGAGTGAATCATCATATCTTTTCTTTTTTAATCACTCTCTCAGATTTTGAATAAGGAAACAAACATTGGAACTGTTCAATCTAACGCAGGTAAGCTTGATCTGTTCCCCTCCATCACCTATTTCCTCATGATATAAAGTGAGAAAAATATGTAAAACCATGAATAATTGATTAATATAGTTTGGAGTTTCAACTGATGGATTCAGATTTAGGTCTTACTTTCAGGTAGTTTAGATCAGATGTAACCATTTAAAAATCTGTGGGTTCCAAATAAAGCAAATCAGCAACCAGTAAAGGTGTGGAGACATTTTTAATTATAATCCATTACTCTAAACAGAATTTAACACTGAAATATAATGAGGTGTTTATGCATCCATTATACATTGACTTTTTAAATAAAATAAAAAAATGTATACATATATAAATATAAAAATTGAAATTTTTCCATTTTAAAATCTAGTGTTTTTGAAGCAGAGAACAAAAATCGTTCAGTTTGGTATAAAGACAATTTCCTGATTGACATCTTTTCTAAAACACCATAACTGTTTGTTATTATTATTATTATTATTTTGTATGGCTTAATGTTGGCAGTGGGCTTTAGGCTGCCCTGCAAGGCTTTAAACCTGGGTTTAACCGGAGACTAAGCCATTCTCAAGCACATATCTAGGAGCTCATTTTGAGCCTGGATCCAGATTTATTGTTGATTCTGTTCATGGTGGAGAATCCTGCTTCACAGCAGCAGGTTGAGCCAAACATCCTCTAAATGTGCAGGGTCATCTTTGAGCACGCCATTTCACTTTTCTTTCACCAGTTCACCGCAGTTCTTCCAGCAGTCCACACTTTCTCTGCTCTCTTTTTCTCATGGTCTTCTCCTTCTTTCCCATCGCCCGGCTTGCCACAGGTTTGCCTGCTGTGTCTAAAAGTAGCAGCAGCAGCAACCCAGACTGACAGCTCATTGGCTCATTTGGATCACGTGCAGCCTGGAGCCGGACGCTCTCAAGGGCTTTACCGTATTAACAGGGGAAAAGGCGCAACTGAAATTAGACACTGCCATCAGACAACATGCTGTAATTTATAAATGTTTTAAATCCGGTTGGGTCCTGATCAGCCAGCAGGTGGGTCAGGATCCAGACCGCGGTCGGCTTATCCGTGACCTCTGGTTTAGATGATAGGTTTTGATAAAAACAACAAAAGAAACTAGAAGGTTCTGTGTGAAGGTTCCGGTTGGACAGGTTTCCTGACCAGACAAACTCGGCAGTCAGTCAGAGCAGACGCAGTTTGGGAAGGTTCTTGGCATCACCATGGAGCTCATCCGCCTAACGAAAGCATACATTTCTGTTAAGATCACAGTAAACCGCCATCCTGTGGGTCGTCCACTTTTTTCCTTTCAATAAACCTTCCATTAGTATGTTTGGCACTGATACAGGCCTCTGAACTATCAGCCTTTTCAGTCTTGTGTGGCTAACCTTTCTGGGTCAATGTATGTCTTCGACTGCTCTGTAAGCTATGTCTATGATAGCCTTAATCCATAAAGATAACATCAGTAAATGCTTTAAAAATACCATTCTTTGTCTTATAAATCTACATACTATTACATAATCACTTTTTGAACTAAAATACCAAAACAAACAATATCTATGATGTTTGCATTTATAAAAACAACTACTTCATATAAGATATATTACCTTGGTAATGTGCAACATGATGGGACATCTTTTCATGTTGTGTTTTCTTCTTATTCTTTGTGTTATCTGATGAGAGTGTATTACTACAGTGCAGCAATAACACCAGAGTTGCATATGAAAACTGTATTCGGCCTTTAGTCCCGCTGGCAGGTGGTGTTCCAGTTTTCCATGCTCCAAATGAAGCTAGAGGTAGATCCAACAGAGAGCACAGTCCAGAGGGATCTCGTCTGAAGGGGGTCCTAAAAAGTCACCAACCTGCAGGTAAGTGCGACAATGTGTTTTCCTCCAAATGGGGACAAATACCTTTCAGATCATGTATGGTGTGAATTTTGTTCCATTGTTGCGAGCAAATTATAAATGTTGTTAGTGGACATAAAAAAACAGATTTTGTAAATCCAGAAATGAAAATCTTGAAATAGGTTTTAATCAGGAGGTTTTAGAGAGATTTTTCTGTTCAGATACAGTTTCTTCAAATTATTCTTTTTTTTTTCAGATTTAATATTTTCAAAAATTTTTTTATTTTCATTTTTTTTTATGTATTTATATTTAAAAAAGCTATTTGTTTGTATAGATTTTATATTTTTGATTTTGTTCTACAAATAAAAAAATCTCTTTACAAATTTGTCTTTTCAGGTCTATTTTCAGTTTTTGAAATTTTATTTTACAGACATTCACTTCACTGCAAACCAAATAGAAAGACTAGCTCTTGTTGCACAGATTGACCAGCTGTTGTTTTTAACATCTTTGCTCCTCACTCCAGAGAAAAGCCCAACCCCAAAAGTAAAGGAAATGTGATCTGTGAAATGCAGTTTATAAAAGATGTGGCTTTTGAAAAACTTAAGGAAGAGGATTAGGGCCACTGAAAAAAGAAAAAAAGTTACCAGATTTTTAAAATTTATTTCAGTTTAATATGGGAAAAAAGTCAGAATTCTGACTTTTTTTCCCCTCAAAATTCTGACTTTAAACTCAGAATTCTGATTTTTTTCTCAGAATTCTGACAGATAACAAACATGTTAGCATCAAGCCATAGCCATGTCTGTTTTATAGACTAGCTCTCTTGTTTTAATGACCTTTTGCTCCTCCATTAATGAGGGGACCCCTCGGCATAGGCGGATCTACTGGGGTGGCATAGGGTGGCAAATGCCACCCTAAATGACAGCCTTGCCACCCCTGCTGCCACCCCTGTTGGCGGTAGGGGTGGCGAGGCTTATAAATTATGGATCATTTGAGAATTACGGCCGCTAATTTCTAATGTCGGACTGCAGTGAATGCAGCACAAGATGACGCGAGAGCGACTGAGACTGATTGTTTTGAAAACCGAATGGGGCAAAGCGAGGGAGCCAGGGGTGATGGGGAGAGGAGAAACGGGATGAAACAGGTAAAAACTGATTAACTATCTATAGAGAAATTAAATCATAATGAAAGCACAATGAGGCTAGCATAGCTGCAATGCTGATTTTTGAGATGATAAAAATCAGGTTGCAGATCGTCATTTCTCTAACTATGATGTTAGTTAGGCCTGACGTCTCAGCCTCATAAAGACATATTTGCGGTCAACTATGACAGAAAAGAGACTGTTAAGTTTGGTTTTACTCAAATCAAAACGCACAAAGTCATTGGATCTAAATACATTAGTGAAGCGTTTTGCTGAGCAACATGGAAATCGCTGCATTCAGCTGTTATAGTCATGTTAACTTTATGTTTGCTCTCTGGTGAACCTTTACAGAGCCGTTACATTTTGTTTTGGCACCTGAGAAAATCTGATATTTCCTTTAATAAAACCAAAAGTGTTAAAAGTTAAAAATGTGATACTGGTGTAAATCCTGCTTAATATGAAGCAGTGTTGTTGTTTCTTTTTTTTTTATATATAATATGAAACTATCCAGAAATGACCCGTATGAACCTACTCACAAGCAAAATGTATTTTTATGTTGCTTCTTTTCAGATTTGTGGAGATTTTGATGTAACATACAGAACCCGCCTTTTTGTTGATTTGTTGATACAGCAGTATGGAGGACCAACTCTGCCATATTTAAAAATAAATACAGAAATAAATAAATGCTTAATAAATAAATAGCCATACAATTAATTGCCACCAAAAATACAAACAACAAATAAATGTAAGTAGAAATTAAATTATCCAGCTAGTCATAAAGGTATATAACTCTTTTAATTGGCTTCTTTATTTCTTTGCCTTTTTAATATTTACCTTATTTATTTTTTTGTCATTTATTATCTTCAACTTCATTTTTTAATTACTTATATTTTTAAGTATTTATTTATGTGCATGTTATCGAATTTTTGTCTGTTTTATTCTTCCTTTGTATTTTTTTACCCTAGTTATTTCTTCGCCGCTATTTCTTTCTGCCTGCCATTATAATATAATTTCTAATTACATTTATTTGTTGATTTTATTTTTGGTGGCAATTAATTGTATGCTTATTTATTTATTGAGCATTTATTTATTTCTGTATTTATTTTTAAATATGGCAGAGTTGGTCCTCCATATACAGCTCTATCTACAGCATATTTACATGCATGAAATGTCCCTTTCATGTTGCCTTAACTGCTGTATGTCAAGTTACTGAGGAACAAATGGGGTAAATGTGTGTTCAGAGTAAACATTACATAGATGTCCAGTACCTTGTTCGGGTGCCTTGACCCATTTATTTCTACTGTGTAGTTCTGCTCACTTTAGTGCAGCTCAGTCCATAGATCTCTGATGGGAAACTTTTTCTTTCTATAGTTTCTTCTTGTGCAAATGCTGCAAAGCTGCCTCTCTGACAGTCAATCTCACACATCTGCGACTCAGCACCTGTGTCTTACCTTAATACCTTTCCTGTCATAAGGCCCCTCTAGAAGTAGTGTTATCATTCTTCTATCTCCTATTAAGTGAGATCACATTGTACGATGTATTATTAATATGAACTGTTTCACATGAAACACCAAACTGTGATAACTGTGATTAAATTCAGTGTAAACAAATACCATATGTTGCCACCCCTAAAAAAATTCCTGCCCCCCTCTTGCCACCCCATAAATATTTTTCTAGATCCGCCCCTGCCCCTCGGGCACATAAAAAGTTGCCTAATTCCGTAATTTTCCACCAATGAGTCACTGGCCACCTCAAACAACTCACATCTTTGTCAGAGAAGCTGAGTGCTCCCACATCTCTTCCTTCATGGTGCCCATCTACATTAGGATCCATAATTCTGAGATTAAAGTCAGAATTCTGACTTTTTCCCTATACTATGCAGAAATAAATCAGTTAACCTAATCCTCTTCTGTAGAAACTAAATCTGAAAAACAGAAATTTTTAAAATATAAAATCTGTAAAAAAGAAAAAGAAAAAAAAGAATATAAAATAAATTGACATAAAAAAAGTATAAAATCTGTTAAATATTTAAAAAAAATAGATAAAACTGAAACAAAATCGAAGAAAACAAAGTTACTTTCAAAACATTTATTGAATCAAAAGTTTAATTTCTTGATTGCCTTTTTTGTTTTAAGTTAATTTTAATTTTTTTTATTTCTTTCATAAAAATGCTCTTTACTTGGAACAATAATGCAACAAAGTTCACTTCATAATTATGTTGCATTTTTGTATGTTTGTATTCTGTTCTCAATTAGATACCAGTGAAATGCAGAATTAGATGATTTTAATGCACATGTTATTTTTTTCTGCAGGATTTTTTCTCACAGCTACCTCCTGTTTCCACTGCAACCAGAACACTTTTGCAGCCACATCTCAACAAATTGATTTGGACAGGTAATGTTCTCTAAAACAAAATCAAACAGAACTAATATTGCATCATTCTCATGTATTTATACTTTATAAAGCTGTATGTTGCCTTAAACTACAGATGTAATCGATCTTAAAGGCCTCTGCAGCTTTAAATATCTTCACTCCAGGTTCCTCCTATTGTTGAGGCGTCCATCGTTTCTAAATTTAAGAAAGTCAGTTTGCCTTAAAAGAAATTACAGGCATGCACAAATTATCTATTACTTATTTGTGTAGCTTTCTGCATAAGTGAAAATCACTTAAAATATGAGTTCATTTATTCTGCTGCTATTATGCAATTATGGCTAAATGAAACGGAAATTTAATCGTCTGTCAGTGATTGTTGCTTCTGAAACTTCACCTTTTTCCTTCTGCTCAACCAGTAATAAGCTTGGATATTTTAGTTGTGAAGATGTTAAAGATTTTATGCCTCACTAATATCCAGTCAGATGTCTTTCCTGCTGCTATCTTTGGATGATGATGAAATGATGAAAGATTTGTGTTTTCATTACGCCATGCTCATTAAAATAAACTGAAATGACCACTTTCAATAAATGGGTTGGTGTGTAATAAATGTTTAGATTAAATTAGATTCACGTCTTATTTTAAAAATAAACAAACCTACTGCTGTGCTGATTTTTAGCCATGCAAGCAGGGTTGTTAAGGAAAAATCCATTCTAGGCTGCCACCAGGGAGCAGTATAGTCTCTCTGAATTACCAAACCCAGTGTCACATGTTTTCTAACTCTGCAATAATCATTCAAACACAATGAGCAGTGAGATGTGTTAAATGATTAGATTTCAGAAGTGAGGGGAAGTGAAATAGAGTTGTTTGTAGTAAATGAATGAATGGAAAACTGTGTGGGAGGTGAAATCTGGTTAAATGCAGGATATTTCCTTCAATTATCCAGGCGCTGTCTGGAGGAATTCCCTTATCTGGACTCCATGGAAGAAGTGCAACTTCTCTATCTGCAGCACAACCTGATTACAAAGATCCAACACGTGTCGCATCTGAAGCGGCTCGTCCTCCTGGACTTACATGACAACCACATCTGTGATATGACGGGACTGGAACATCTGAGCTCTCTCAGGATTCTCATGCTGGGGAAGAACAGGTTGGTCATCACTACAGCAGACAATAAACGAGATTTTAGGCTGTTTAAAGGTATTTGTTTTGTTAAATAAATCTTTCCAAGGTTTTGTTAAACCTAAAATAATAACTCACCAGCATAAATTTAAACGCTGTACTTCTTAATTTTTATTAGTGTTTATAAATATGTAAATACTGTGTGTTTGTTGAAAACATCTTGAAAATTTTTCATGTTATCATATCCAATATTTTTGGGGAAGAGCTTTTTCAAATTATGAGGACTGTTTATAAAGCTAAGTGTCCTTTTTGGGTTTAAAAGTCATGATGATGATTAAAGTCATAATCCAATTCAATCTGGGGTTGAAATTCATTGCTTAGTTCAGAGACTCTTTGATACGAGCACAGGCCGGATGCAATTAGATCCATAGTTTTAATTCTAATATTTTATGAAAGGCTTTTATTAACAAGTTAAACTACCAGTGTGTATGTATGTAATTGTAAAAATAAAACTCTTTTCTGTTAGTTAAAGCTAAAAAATAACAAGCAGTTCAATCTGAAAAACTCACACAAAGAGAAAAGACAATTAGGAGAAATTTATTGATACAATTACTTTGTCTTTGGCGCTCAGACCTCGGCAGGAAACACGGCGCTTAATTTTGATCGATATGCATGAACAGGGGAAAAGAATAGGGCTGTTTCTCCCCCAGGCCTGAAACTGGTGGTGGAGTGCAGATAGATGGAGTTGGTCAGTCTGTAGACTGCTGGTTAGCGAGACGGTCTGCTGAGCTTTATGGGGAGATCCAGTGGACTACGTGAGCTGATACTAGAGCTTCACTTCCTGGAAGATGGAAGTCCAGTTGGATAACACAGGTTGAGAGAACCTGTCCATGATGAGCAAGCATGAAGCGACAGTGGAGAGGAAAACTCCCCGTTAGGAAGAAACCTCTGGCAGAACCAGGCTCAACATGGCGATCTTCTTCCAGAGCGGTTGAGATGAGACAGGGAACGCAGTAAGAGTCCAGGAGGAATGACGCTCTGATGAAGCTTTAGCTACGATGGTGGAGGAGGGGCTGGAGGGGGGTTGAAACGGTGTCATCTGAATAAAATCAAACAGCAGATCCACCGCCTGCGCACAGGAGCAGACAAGTGCAGATCGGAGCCCTTTTATGATGACCTATGGATGCCGATTGGCTTTCGTGGAGGCGTGGTTCAAAGCTGATTGGCTGTGTCGCAGGTGGATGGAGGAGAGCAATGAGTTTCTTCAGTTGAACTTCCACATAGGCTCCATCTTATCATAAAATAAAGCTAATTAGCGAGTAACAAAATCCAAAATCTATATTGTGAGATATACAAGCTAGCCCTGAAATTAACAACTTTTCACACAGTTTTTAGATGTCAAAAATCAGAATCAGAATCAGAAATACTTTAATAATCCCAGAGGGAAATTACTTTTGTTACACGCTCTAGTTACAGTTTTACATGAAAGCTGAGTGTAGGACTACAATCTGCAGATCTCAAGAGAGTAACATGATTCTATGCAAAGATCTATTTTCGAATCAGTCCTGCAAACTCACCACGGATCTGCCACTGTTTCTTAGCTTCTTTTTCTCCTCTTCCATCACATTCTCCTCCTCATCCTCTGTTCTTTCCTCTTCTTCCTCCTCACTTCTAAAGGCTGAGTTATATTTGTGCTTCAGAAATCACTCAGGTCTCTGCACACCATGCAGGGGGCAGCAGACCAGCAAACCAGAGAAAAGGTACTGAGAGTCAGAAGAAATGCTTCACATTCACCAAAACAGCTGTGTTCCCTATTGAAAACACGATTATTATGAATTTCAAACTTTTAGACTCAGAGCAAAGCCATGAGGAGGAAACCACCTTTTGATTTCTTAGTAAAAGGTATAAAACAGTAAAATTTTGGACCTAAAATCATTTGTACCACTTTTTATAATCACATTTATGTTTTTCTACCTTTCTCTGATTATTGTTTTTCTTTTTTGTGACTCTCTACCGTCTGACCTTGAATTAATAAGTTATCACTGTATCTTATTCATTCTGCATATGGAAGTGCAAGAGCTTTCCATGGAAGGTTAAGAAAACTATAACAACAAGAGCAAACATTAAAGATTTCAGTGTTGGAACACAAATCTAATAAAAAAAAAAAAACATACGGCGACATACAGTACAGTTCTCTCACACACACAGCAAGTCATTTACTAAATGTATTTGTACTGCCATTGAACTGGTAAAAAGAGCTACATATTAATGCTGTGATAGAGCAGGAAACAGGATGTATATTTATGTATATTTTAGGATGTAATTTTCTTTCCTGTTGGGCCATTACAAATATGCACTGAGTTTTTTGATGTGATCAAATCTTTAAAAACGAATTTCAAAGAACTTTTTTTCAAAGTGCTGATCGGTACTTTTTTTTTTTTCAATTACAGAATCCAAAAAATTGGCTGCTTGGAAAGTTTATCTAAACTGAACATTCTGGATTTGCATGACAATCAGGTAAGCATCTTTACATATCCTTCAATCTATAAGGTATTTATTTTGCATTTTTATTCGTTAATTAAATGTGTTCATTAAGATTTAGATAAACCTGGAAAGTTTAGCTAGAGCTCTATGGTTCACTTTCTAGTTTTTATCCTATATGCAGCAGGAGAAACTTTCTCATGGCTCACTGAGATACAACATTCTGTTTTCAGAGCAAACATTGGAACCAGGCTATATGCAGAAGAAAAACATTGTTTTTGGAAACTGAATCTTATGTATATTTTCCTGTTATTTAACAGTTTCCTTTTCTTCTTCAAACCTGATATCCCCAGACTTGTTTTATGGTGCTTTAAACCTATTTTTTCTCACCAGCATAAGTAATCAAAGAATTGAAAACCAAAATTCACAGGGTTTTGTCTCAGGTCAACTCCCACGATTATTTCTCCAGTGACTCCAGCATAATTTATCCAACAGGCATAACGGTTTTAATGTTTTGAGCTCTGGGATCGGCTCGGAGCTTTCACAGATTATAGCGTTCCTTCTATAAAGGTTCTTTGGCCTCCAGAGCAGAGCCTAGCCTGAAGACATCAAACCATGTCAGATGAAAGTTTAAAAGCTCCTGGAAATAAAAACTAAAAAGAACAGAGAGGCTTCCCTTGGTCAAATTAGCATTTTGCCAGCATGCCGCCCACACTCCTCCTCAGAGAGCTTCTCCGGAGCTCTGGCTTGACTTCTGGTGTTGGCTGCTCTTTACATGAACAGCCATCTCAATTACTGCTACAGTGTTATGTATATTATTTGACAGAGAATGCTTTGTTGCCTTAGGCACTCTGGACTTTCTTGCCCGTAGCATTTCATATCTTTGTACCCATCATATCATTTTGTAGAAGGCTGCAATAGATTGAGTGGCTTTTCCTGGTCAATACCAATTTCTCTGAAGTTCAACCTCCAGATTTTGACTCCCTTTGTCAAAGGATTAAAAGATATTAGTTTGTGATAAATAAATGTAGTTGCTGCATGTTCTTGTTAGAAGCAGAATCCAGGAGAAAATGAAGTATTTATTACAATGAGGAACCAATGAATGATTCAAACCATGTGCATATGAATTTAATCTGAATTTCAATACCCTGAAAGATTGCATGCTGTGGCAGTTTTTGTGTTTATAGAGGAAAAATTATGTTTTTTTAATTTTTTTATTTATTTAGATGTATCTTATAACAGAAGACAGCTGATCACATATCGGGTTAATCAAGGGAAAACTGGCTTGGCCTTTTCATAGAAATGTGTTAGGTCAATCTTGTCATGATGTGTTTTAAAGGTCTGACCCAAAGATGCAGAGAACCACTCAGAGAGCAAGGCAAAAGGTTAAACAGGTTTACCGAGGTTAGGGAGGGGGTTGAATTTGGAACTCAGTGTACTCAGAGGGCTGGTGAACTGTAACTGAAAGGGAGGACGGAAGTTCACAGTGGTTAGTTCAGGAACTGTGGGAATCTTTTTTTTTGTAATTAAAGTTTATTTTGTTTTATGAACATATAACAAAAACAACAAACAAAAACAAAAAACAAAAACCAGTCAGGTAAACATTGTTGATTGTAAGGCCGCATTCACATCCATCACACATTGTCCTGGTTTCCACCCAATTAAATACAGACTGGACACCTAAAAAAGTCATGTTTAGCTTGACCGATCCTGGTCTTGTCCAGGTTCAGATCAAAATTTGGTAATCCTTAATTTAATATGTTTATGTGTAAATGCGAATGCAACCTAAATGTTGTTCCAAGTTATCACTGTTGCAATGTAGTAGAAACATAAGCACTAAAACTGTCCCATTCTTCTGTTACAGCCTCAGAGTAGTTGTTCAGTCTTCCAAGCATTTTCTCACAGGCTGTATTTTCAGTCATTCTCTCTCTCCATGTTTTGAAAGCTGGAGTCTGTGGTATCCTCCATAGAGTCAAAATGAGACGGGCACAGGCAACAAATCCAGTGTTCAGTACTCTGAAAGCTGCTTTATGGACACCTGGGACCAAACCTCTGTCCCCCAACAGGCACAGTCTTGGTGAAATAGGCAGTTTACTCTTTAACCATCCCTCCATGTATTTTATAACACTATTCCATATTGGAGAAATCAGCGGACATTCCCACAAAGCATGCAGCAATGTGCCTCTTGCTCTTTGGCATTTCCAGCATAAGTCATCTTTACTAATACCCATCTTATGCAGTCTTACTGGTGTAAGATAATACCTGTTCAAAATTTTATATTGAATAAATTTCCCTTTGGCCTCTCTTATATAACGCCCGCTTTCAGAAACAATAGAGTCCCATATTCCATCTTCAAAAGTGCAACCCAGATCTCTTTCCCATACTATTTTAAGACTTTTACTCAGATTGTTTTTAACCCATGGACATATGTTATACCATTTTGATGCTTTACTAAGTAAAGGTGGAAGTTGTAAAAAACTCTCTATCGAATTTTTCTCCAAGTGAAATTTTGTTTTGTCCTTCAAACGGTCTCTAATTTGTAAGTATTTCCAAAAGTTGCTTTGTCCCTCTAACTTAAACTTTTCTTTCAGATCATTATATGACATAAATGTGTCTTCCACAAATAAATCACCAATTATCCGTACGCCTTTCTTTAACCAATGTGATCAAAAAATTGACTGTTTACCGATTTTGATCTTAGGATTATGCCACAGGGAAGCATATCTTTGGGTATATGGAGAGAGCGCAAGTTTTTTTTGGACCAATTGCCACACCATTTTTGAGAATTTTAATATAGGGTTTTCTATTTTATTCTGTTTATTATCTATCTTTTGAGTCAATACCTCGATTGGGGTGAACAGAGAGGAAAGTTCCTGTTCTATTGAAACCCAGTCTAAATCTGATTTAGTTTCTGGCCAATGTTTGCACATCTTGGACATTTCAAATGAAATGCTATAATGTTCTATGTTAGGTAAGGCCAGCCCCCCTTCTTTTTTGGATTGACATAGTTTGCCAATATTGATTAACTGTGGGAATCTTGAATGCAAAAGGGAAAATGCTAGTGAGGGACTCACATTAGGGGAGGTTCTTCTCTCACTAGCATCCAGTCTGTGTGGGTTGATCAGAGAGGAGGGTACATGTTGAAGAGTGGATATGTAGACATACTTTGGACCCAAAGGAGCACTGGAGCGGACTGTCACTTGGATTTCCGTGAGGGACTTGAACGGTACATAGGGAGGTTTCTCCCCTGCTCAGTGTGAACTCAGTAAACAATCCTTCCAGGGGAAGAAGGTCAAACATCCAGAATGCAGGAGGACTTCCTGCCAAAGGCAAAGACAAAAAACAAGTTTAGACTCAGAGAGACTAAGACTCAGGTTAGGCTCTGCTAATCTAAGCTTGGCTAGAGTACCCAAAACTGGCAAACACTCTGGCGTCGAGGCAGTGACAGTCCACTGCTTAAGTACTCCTTCAGATAATGATCAAAAGAGCCACAGGTGTGCAGGGAGGACCAACAAGGACAGGGCGCCACCTGGTGGTGGAGGGAGAGACAGACACAAACTGGATTCCTGACAAATCTGCCTTTAGATGTGAGTCTGTTACAGAGGATAGGTAGACGGGTTTTCCCCTCATCGTTTCAGCCAGTCACACAGCAAAGCTTCTCTTTAACCAGAATTAAGTCAGAGCCATATTTTTAGGTTCTCTTTCTTCTGAACACTTCAGCACAATTTACGTTGTCCACAAATGATGATATGAGTTAAAACTCACTAACTAAAAGTCCTTGTCTTGTACCTGTATTCTGGCTTTTAAAAAGATGTTTCACTTCTGCTGAGCTTCCATGATTTCATTCTTTGTCAGGAAGTTTGATGTTTCTTGAAACACATTATTTTTTGCCCTTTTACGTTAATAGTAGGGTTTGGTTTATTGTCCGCTTACCTGAAGCTCTTGAAAAGGCTATACTCTCTTTGGGATTGTTTGTCCATCTTTGGGTTACTACACTACACGATTGGTTAATACATTTGAACAAATTGTCTCTTTTTCAGATATATCTAATGTTTGCCTTCAGCCTATTATGATAATTTTTTCTATCTCAAAATAATAATTTCCAAAACAGCATTTTTAAAAATAAATCTACAAAAAACATATTAATGATGATCAAAGGGCCAATATAAAGCTTTATTGGTGTATGGAACACTGTCAATAACAGATTTTTATGATGTGAAAAAGGGAGATGGTCATAAATCAAAGCGTTTTTAAATTCTAATTTCGTTAAATATACAGCGAAGAAAATAAGTTTTTGAACACCCTGCTATTATGCAAGTTCTCCCACTAAGAAATCAGGAGGGGTCTGAAATGGCCATCATAGATGCATTTCCACTGTGTGAGACATACAGTAATCTAACAAAAATCCAGAAATTACAATGTATTTTTAAAAACTATTTATTAGTATGATACAGTGGCAAATAAGTACTTGAACACCTGTCTATGAGGTAGAATTCTGACCCTCAAAGACCTGTTAGTCTGCCTTCAAAATGTCCACCTCCACTCTATTTATTATCCTTAATTAGATGAACCTGTTTGAGGTTGTAAGCTGCATAAATACACCAGTCTACCCCATACATTCAGTAATAATCTAACTACTAACATTGTAAAGACCAAAGAACTGTCCAAAGACACTAGAGACTTAATGTGGACCCCACGAGGCTGGAAAGTGCTACGGGGAAATTGCCAAGCAGCTTGGTGAACAAAGTTCCACTGTTGGAGCAATCATTCCAAAATGGAAGAAGCTAAACATGACTGTCAATCTCCCTCGGAATGGGGCTCCATGCAAGATCTCACCTATATAGTATTCAACCTTTTGCCACATTCCAGGCTTCAAACATTAATATACAGAATTGTAAAATTGTCCCTTTTTTTGTGGAGTATCAACAACAAGATTTCATTCCACAATCATAAAGTGGAACACATTTTATTGGACATTCTAAACTTTTTTTAACAAATAAAAAAACTTAAGAGTGTGGGTTGCAAAATTAATTGGTTTGTTTACTTTCAGAGCATCAAACTTTCTCCAGAAGTTCAATGATAATTTGCGAATAATCCAATGTTGACCTAAATGACCGATAATGATGCATAGAATCCACCTGTCTGTAATCGAGTCTCCGTATAAATGCTCCTGCTCTGTGATCGTCTCAGAGGTCTGTTTAAAGCCCAGAGAGCATCGTGAAGAACAAGGAACACACCAGGCAGGTCCGAGGTACTGTTATGGAGAAGTTTAAAGCCGGATTTGGATAAGAAAATATTTCCCAAGCTTTAAGCATTCCGAGTATTCTGTGCAAGGGACAATATTGAAATGGAAGGGGTATCAGGCGGGCTGCTCAGTGGCGCAGTGGGTAGCAAGAAGGATCTGGGTCTTTTTGCATGGAGTTTGCATGTTCTCCCTGTGCATGCATGGGTTCTCACCGGGTACTCTGGCTTCCTCGGACAGAACATGACTGTCTAAATTCTCCTTAGGTGTGAGTATGTGCATGAATGGTTGTTTGTCCCTGTGTTGCCCTGTGATGGAGTTGTGACCTGTCCAAGGTGTACCCCGCCTCTCGCCCGTAGGCAGCTGGAGATAGCTGGAGGTGAACCCGCTTTTAATAAGCCTGAAGGAAAATGGATGGATGGAGTGTCAGACCACTGTGAATCTACAAAGATTGTCCCTTAAACTTTCAACTCAAATAAGGAGAAGACTGGTTAGAGATGTAGCCAAAAGGCCCATGATCACGATGAACTGCAGAGACCTACAGCTGAAGTGGGAGACTCTGTCCACAGGACAGCAATCAGTCATATACTGCACAAAGCTGGCCTTTATAATCCATAAGGGTATACAGGGTATAACCCATCCATGAAAAGTCTTGTATGAAGTTTGCCACAAGCAACCTGGGAGACACAGTAAACATGTGGAAGAAGGAGCTCTGGTCAGATGAAGCCAAAATAAACATTTTGTCAACCATGCAAAACATTATGTTTTGCATAAAAGCAAAACAGTTCATCACCCTGAACACACCATCCACACTGTCAAACACAGTGGTGCCAGCCTCATGGTTTGGGCCTGCTTTTCTTCAGCAGGGAAAGGGAATATGGTTAAAACTGATGGGAAGATGGACGGAGCCAAATACAGCAGCATCCTGAAAGAAAACCTGTTAGAGTCTGCAGAAGACCGGAGACCGGGACGGAGATTTATCTTCCAACAAGATACTGATCCAAACATAAAGCAAAATCTACAATGAAACGGTTCACAAATAAACATATCCAGGTGTTAGAATGGCCTAGTGAAAGTCCAGACCTGAATCCAATTTAGAATCTGGAAGAACTGAAAACTGCTGCTCAAGCACTTTCCATCCGACCTCACTGAGCTGCAGCTGTTTTGAAAAGGAGAATGGGCAAAAATTTCAGTCTCTCAATGTGAAAAATTGATAGAAAAAAACACCAAGAAACCTGCAGCTGTAAGGTGATGCTACAAAGTATTAACTCAAGGGGCTGAATAATTTTCCACGCCCACTTTTTCAGGTCTTTATTTGTGAAAAATTTTAAAACATCCAATACATTTTGTTCCGCTTTAAGATCTAGTGTCCCAGTAGTTGCCGATTCTTTACAAAGAGATGCCTTTATGTTTGAAGCCTGGACTGTGGCAAAAGGTTGAAGAGCTCCAGGGGTTAAATATGCCCATATATATATATATATATATATATATATATATATATATATATATATATATATATATATATGTATATATATATATATATGTATGTATATATGTATATATATGTATGTATGTATATATGTATATATATGTATGTATGTATATATGTATATATATGTATGTATGTATATATGTATATATATGTATGTATGTATATATGTATATATATGTATGTATGTATATATGTATATATATGTATGTATGTATATATGTATATATATGTATGTATGTATATATGTATATATATGTATGTATGTATATATGTATATATATATATGTATGTATATATGTATATATATATATGTATGTATATGTATATATCTATATGTATATATATATATATATGTATATGTATGTATATGTATATATCTATATGTATATATATATATATATATATATATGTATATGTATATGTATATATATATATATATATGTATATATATGTATATGTATATATATGTATATATATGTATATGTATATATATGTATATATATGTATATGTATATATATGTATATATATGTATATGTATATATATGTATATGTATATATATGTATATATATGTATATGTATATATATGTATATATATGTATATGTATATATATGTATATATATGTATATGTATATATATGTATATATATGTATATATATATATATATATGTATGAAAAAGCATTTCTTAGAGGCTGGTTTCCAAAAAACATCTTTTGACTCATCAGATCCTATCCATATCTATTGATGTTAGCGCTAGCAATTTACCTGGAGTAATCTTAAGGATTGGAAACTAAACTCTTTTAATAAAGCTCTTCATGCTGTGAGAGCAAACACAGCATCTAACAACCTCAGGTGATTTATCTGAAGTATTTAAAATGTCAGAAAGGTTCCTAAATATCCCCTTCCACTAATATTAAGGTAAGGAAGGAAGCATAAGGTTTCATAGCAGAACGACCCTCGGCTATGCGCTTGTTTTTATAATCTAAAGGTTTATCCAGGAGTCGTGGGTTGGTGATATGCAACTGGCATTAAATATATAGCATTCACTTAATTACTGCTTTATGTGCATTCTTGTGTTTTTACAAGCTTCCCCTCAATTTGATTTAATTTCAGATCAGCAAGATGGAAAATATTTCTCACCTGCATGAGCTTCAGGTTCTTAACCTGTCGGGAAATCAAATCTCCAGAGTGGAAAACCTGCAGGGCCTCAGCTCCTTGATTGAACTCCACCTACAGAACAACAGCATCTCTGTGGTGGTAAGAAGCATGTTTACCAGTGTTTGGTCTTCTTTCCCCCCTCGCTTTACAGTGAAAGTAAAGGTCTAATCTAAGGGCAGGTTAAGCTTACGCACATATGTACGACAAGAACAAAGTTCAATGTAATATATTGGGACTTGGCTTGATGGGGGTCTTTTCCCCTGCACTGCTACTGGAGCTATCTTGACATCAGAGCTAACACAGCTCAGGATTTTTCAGTTTCAATCACCAAAAGCTCCAGCTCCTGGAGCCAGAAAGTGGTGTTACAGTACCGTAACCTTTTTGTTGGGCCAAATGAGAGCTTGCCTGGCACCAAGTACGTCAGGGGAACGGAGTGGAGTTAACTACAGCATGCACATGAGGAGCAGCATACTGCAAGGGTGTGTGATGATGTTACCAGATGATGAATAGTTGTAACGGTGACAACGTTTGTCGCTGTATAATCATAATGGCTTGTAAAGGAAGGAGTAGCATCTGTGCTGCTAGAACTTTGTCCATCTTGTTGGCTTTTTTGGTCTCGCGTTCATCTGATTCTATATTTATGTCCTATGTACTTCTGTCTCCGTTTGAATACATTTCTGATGCACATGTTGATGCAGTGACATCACTATGAGTTGGCTATGAGCTGGCTCCTTGACAGAGATGGGAAGTAACGAAGTACAATGCTTTGTTACTGTACTCAAGTAGATTTTTCTGATATTTTTACTTTACTGCTTATTTTTATGGCGACTTTTTACTTCTACTCCTTACATTTTTACACAAATATCTGTACTTTCTACTCCTTACATTTTAAAAAATTGGCTCGTTACTTTAGTTTTGAATCATCTCAATGGAGTTACCGTTATTATTTTTCACGTCATCAATACCAAATTCAATCTAATTGGATGGGAATCTACGTTGCATTTGACGCACCACTACAAGATGAATCGACAGATTCGGCGGTATTCATTGGCGGCAAATCATTGCAGCTTGGTGGCGGTGGCGTTAGCATAGTAGCATGGACGACGAGATGATTGAAAATGAACACAACGGAGATCTAGTCCTATTGGCAGACATCCATTTAAAATGTAGGCAACGGCATGAAAAAAGTGGTTTCTACTTTTACTTTTATACTTTAAGTAAATTTACGAGCCTGTACTTTGTTACTTTTACTTGAGTAAAGAAGTTTAATCAGTACTTCCACTTTTACCAGAGTATGTTTTAACACAAGTATCTGTACTTTTACTTAAGTACGGAAAGTGAGTACTTTAGCCATCTCTGCTCCTTGATGAAAGCACCATTTAAAGCTCTGGCTCTAGCTCCAGCTAAGAGTAAGCTCTCGCATTCGAGAAAAGGTCTAATAGACTAGCTCTCATTATTAGAGCTAAGAGCATGGATACATTGAACTGAGATTTAGATTTTCCTTATATGTTTCAAAATGTGTAATGTGTAGTTTTAAGATGGAGTTATTTAAGGCTTTATACATGAGAAGTAGGACTTTAAATTATTTTCTGAATTTAACAGAAAGCAATTTAGGGAAATTTTAACAGGAGAAAAGTGATCTCTCTTTCCAATTTTCATCAGAACTCTAACTGCAGGATTTTGGATCAGCTGAAGGCTTTTCTCCACGTTTTGTGGACTTCCTGATAGTAAAGAATTACAATAGTTCAGCCTTGAAGTAACAAATGCATGGACTAGTTTCTCAGCATCACCCCTGGACAGGAGATTTCTCATTTTTTTTATATTCCAGAGATGACGTAAAGAAATTCGAATAACCGCTTTGATGGGATTTAAATTACAAATCCTGATCAAAAATAACATCAAGTTTTTTTATTACATTATTATATGAGACCAATTTAATGCCACCCAGATGAAGGGACTTACTAATTAGATTTTTTTTCAGATACTCTTATCCAAAGACAATAACTTTTGTGTTGTATAAATTTAAAAGCAGAATTGAAAAGGTTATTTATTTTGTTGATTATATGGTTTTCAAAAAAAATGCCATTAATTTTGATTTATCTCATTACAGACCCTGTAAATAACCCAATTAAAACTTTTAATGTCCCAACACTAATCATTTTACTTCCTCTTCATAAATATGCACTACTTATTGTTTGTCTCTCACAAAAAAACTCTCATTAAAGTAGACCGAAGTGTGCAGTTGTAGAGGTTCAAGGGACTTATATTTTGCAGAGCACTGTGCTATTTATTTTCCCACCTGGCAGGAGCCAAAAACTGAAGAAAAAAAAAATTAAAGAAATAATTAATCAGATTCAGCAAAGCTGCAGAGTTGCTGGTGTTTTTTTTGTGAGCTCTCATGAATACATTTGACTGTTTTCTACTTCTCTATATTTATCCCATGGAGCGAAAAGCTTCGGCTCAGGGCTGTAATGATCAGAACTAATTCCTGAAAGGAACCACCTTGCATAGATGCTTCTGTGAGTTTATTGTGGTCACATTTCTGCTAAGAGTGATAGAAATTACATGTAACACAGAGAGTTGTTTTGACTTCTGGTAGAGGTGCAAATGGTAGTCTTTTCAGATTCCTAAGATGTTTCTGTTCTCAAATTATAGCTTAGTGTTTTTTTTTGTGCGTGAGAGAATGTAACAAAACCAGAAGTGAAATCAATTGAATGACTGTCAGAAAGTGTGGGGTGAAACCTGTCCTGTTTTTTGTTGCCCAGGGAGAAATAGATCATTATCCATAACCTCCCACTGACTTTTCCGGTGCAGTGAAAGAGAAACTAGATGTTCAAAACACGGAAAATCACTTCTCTCTTGTTACTATGGTTTTAATCTGATAAACAGAGTATTGCGTGCCAAAACAAGCCCCTTCATTTGTATGCAAATCCCTAAAGTCTTAGTCTGCTTCCCTGAGCTGCGGAAAAAAACTCTAACTTTGTATCTCCGATGAAAACTCCTCTCATCACTCAGTATGTCCTTTCCCTTCTGGCTCAGAGTTCCTAATTACTTGATTTTTTGCATGACATTGTATTGCAAATTTTTTTTGTTGCTTTTTTTTTGTTAATTTTTTTTTAAATCTTCCTTCTCCAGTTTGCTTCTGATTTATTGTCCACCTCCTTGCTAATGTGAAGGTCTACCACTACTCCATGTTTTCTCCTTTGCTTGTTTTCTTTTATCCAAATACCTTAAAAGTGGCTTATTTAATCGTTCCAAACCGATAGATGTCAAATATATATTTTTTTATTTCTCTTCTTGAACCGCTTTACATCCTGTCATGATTTTTTTTTTTTTTTGCTCTATTAGGCTACTTAGCCTACAGATAGGTTTTATGTAAATGATTTTGTGATTCTACCAAGGGGAAATTTAGGTTTGTAATTTTATGAGGCCACTGGCGGTTCTAGACCATATTTGCCAGGGAAGCTGGGTGGGGCCAGAGTTTTTATTTTTATTTTTATATATTTTCCAAACAAACAAATAGAAAAATGCAAGGACAAAAGTTTATTATTTAAAATTGTGATGAAGCCAGAGAGCTACTTGCAGCTCTAGGGCTGCAGGTAGCAGACCTCTGATCCTGCAGGTGCAAACTGTGATCCTATCTTAAAAGTATAGTTGAGGATTTTCTTGAATTTTTGAAAAGACCCACCCTCTCCCGAATAAGAACGCCTTTTAAAAGCCTGCGAGAGCATTCACGAGCCCATTTCTCCTCGAGCACGCTCTGTTTAAAAGTTGCTGTTTGCACATCCTTTACTATACCTGGATGTTGCTTTTCTGGGCGGATTATCAAAATAAGTTGTTCTCCTAATTCTCAATCATTCTGGTAATATGTCTACGTAAGGCCATCCTATGTGCTCATCCCCTTTTCCCCTTCTGGTGGTGGAAAAATATAAAACATAGTGGAAAAATTGCAAACTTCTTTTCGAAAGTAAGCTTGTATGAGCGATGCAACCATGCAACTTATACTGGACTTCCAGACATATCTGATGGGCTAGCCGGTAAGGAGTCTGAGAGGAGCCAGGCAGGGAAATCCAAAGACCCATGGTTGGCTGGGAAAGGAGGTGCAGCCTGTAATCCTGATTGAAGGGTGCAGCAGTAGACAGCCAGGACAGAACATACCAGTTATATAATAAGATTAATAATAGGTTTTCATACCACTGTAACTAGAGAACCACAGTAAATCCATCCGACCTGTTAAAGTGGTTTCATTTGTCAAACAGGGTGAAGTGGTTTTTACGCTTTCCAAACCTTAGAAAGAAAGTGACGTTTTTAATGCAAAGCTTTGTCTGCAGGAATCAGAGAAAAAGCAGACTGAACATGCAACATTAAAGCAGACAAGGAAAAAGGTTTCAGCCAGAAGCAGACTGGCCTTTTGGATTAACACTAGGGCTTTCTCATCTTCTGACCTACTAGATTTAAGCGGCCTTATAATGGTAATTGCAAGGCAATCTGCAGTATAACTTGAAAGTGTTACCCAGGCTAATTAGCTTAAGTCTTGTCTGTTTGAGGATAGCTCTTTTTTTTTCCCTGTATGAGCTATGTGAAAACAGCTTCCTCCATCTATGGGCAAATGTTTAAGCCACATAAGGTGACCATTTAAAAGTAACAGCAGTACTTTTACCGTCCAAATGGTATACATGTAAACCAAAAAGAACATGCAGAGCAGAGCAAAAACCTTTTGATTGACGTCTGACTTTAAGCAGGTTTCGTGCAAAGTATTAATCTGCAGTTTAGAAAAGGCTTCCTGAGATATCCTCGCATGTCTGTTCTAGAAAGAGCTGCCATAACACTCAACAGCTTATGAGAAATTTCCACCAGGATTCACATGTAGAGGCATTCATTGAGGGGCTTTCATGACTCTGTTGCGGTGTGTCATTTTGCACGCTTTGATGAGATCTTACTGTGTGTGTTTGGAGTAACACATTCAGCAGAGTTCAGAGTAAGTGTGAAAACCAAAGACAAGCAGGCTGTCATGCAGCAGAGGGTGGGGCAAGGTTTAAAAAAAGGTGAAGGCACGGGCACACAAAAAATACACCCCCAGGCGGACAAGGAGGCACACGCATCCAAAAGGCTGCACAGCTGTAAACAGGCTCACAACAAATCCTGTCAGCTGATTGGTTCCAATCGATCAGGTTGGTTGGAAAAGAGAGCACATTGGTGGAAAGTTGTTCTGTACCTCATCAGCCCAGTGATGACATCATTCTGTCTGGGATAGAGCGTCTATTTTTAGCAGAAGATAGTATGCAGCCTCTGCTTCTTCCCCAACATCCACACAGACAGGACTTTGGGAAAGAGGTACACGTTAGTTAGCAGCATCCCTTCACTTTTTAACACAGTGGACAGAGTTGGTCTAAATAAACTTGTATTTCTCTCTTTCTTGGATTAATCATTCTAAAAAATGTAAGGTTATATTCTTGTAAGTGTTCTGGCCCTATCTAAAAAGATTTTTCCTTATAATAATATTAATTCCAGAAACATAAATGCATAACATTTGGTTCTTCTAATAGTTTTCGATGAAAATAACAGATTTTTGAAGATATTTCATGAGTCACACTGAACCAGAAAATTACATCTGACATCTGACATGATATCTATAGACGTGTTGTCTGGAGTGAGTCCATATTTATGTCGATACGATTAGGAAATCCCTCGGCAATCACAGATCAGGTTGTAGGATTGCAGAAGACTGTTTTTCATTGTTTTTTTTCCCTAATAACTGGTTGTAATTTTGAGATATATGTTAGTATCCCTTAAAGATATCACCTATCCTGCCTCGAGTGGAGGAGTTAAAGTATCTTAGAGTTCTGTTCACGAGTGAGGGGAGAATGGAGCAGGGATCGATGGATGGACCAGTGCTGCTATAATGCAGATGCTGTACCGATCTGTCGGGGTGAAGAGCGAGCTAAGCCAAAAGGCAAAGCGCTTGATTCACAGGTCAGTCTACATTCCTACCCTCACCTATGGTCATGAAATCTGGATCATGACCAAAAGATCCTGGATAAAGGCTACAAAAATGAGCTGTCTCTGCAGGTTGATAGAGTGAGGAGCTCAGCCACAAAGCAGAGGCTGCTTCTCCTCCACATCGAGCAACAGAGCTGGTAGAACTGTCTGAGAGGAGGTGTGTCTTGGAATCTCCGTACACTGTTCACCCTACGACCCAATCTTGGCTAAAGCGGAAGACAAGAGAATGAAATTTATCAAAAGGTCAGAAACATTCCTCCGATGTTTGGTTCTGATTTGATGCGACCTCAAATCATTGCTACATATTGGTCGCTGCACATTCGACCATCTCCCTTAGAATAGGACCATCTGCTGTTCTATTAAAGATCCAAAAGGTTCTCTGTTAGACTTATGGATTTATCGGCGATTGGAAAGACGACTGTAAAGTCAAAGGTGGCAACAACAACGCAGTCTTTAAACATTTCTCAGTTGATGTTCAGAATACCAAATTGTGCCAAAAATAGCCCCACCTTAAAACCATGACTGACCTTCCTGAACCATGAATATTAGGCCCCGTCCACACGAAGTCAAAAGGAACACGAAACGCTTATATTTTCCAGAACGTTTGTCGTAAAGACGGAGACGTAAAATAAATGTGATCGTCCACACGAATGCATGAAAACGCTGCAAAATGTATGCCAGGCCTGTAAGTGGCGCTGTGGTGCCAAAGCAAAAATAGGTGATGAAATGTTGGGCATGCGCACTAATATTTATACATGGTTGCCCTGCAGGTCCATTTTCGTGGTTCAGTCAAGTTCAGGTGCTGATCTATGTGGTCGATATTGCTCTGTTCTTCCTGGAGATATTCCAGAAGAAGAAGATTCTGTTGTAAGCCCGACAGCAGGGTGAGTAGCATTAGCAGCAACCATTCAACACAGTACGGCGCCATTGTTGTTGTGATACTGTGTCGCGCATGCGTGTTTAGAGGCGACGCTATGACTCATGCGTGTAAGAAAAAAAATGCGGTTAGAGCTTAAAGATGGAAACGCGAAAACGGCGTTTCAAAACCTTCCCACTCTGAAGGCTTAATAAAAAAGATGTCATGATGGGTCTCTGTGATTAAACCCACATGCAGAACACCACACGAAGCAGGGTAAAAGTTTAACAGTTTATTAAAGAGTTGCAAAAACACAGAGAAACAAGCACTGGTTCTGGTACTGGTCCGGGACTCGATTTCACAGAGTATCTGTAGAGAGGGATAGTTTGGTTAGCCAGGCAGCAGAGATAGCTTGGCAGAGTTTGGATCTTGGTTTGTACCTGATGTGGTTCAGACTGTTCAGTAGAGAGAGGGAACCGGTTGGGTCCAGAGGCTGTGATTCCAGCAGAGAGTTCAGCAGCGACAGAGCTCAGCTTCAGGCTAGCGAGATTCAGACCTTGAGTTGTTCTTCTAGTTCTCCCCTGAGAACTAGATGGAAGATTCAGGCTGAGGATCTTCAGGTTTGGCTTCTTCGGGCAGGCAGGCAGGTTTCCAAACATGAGCTCCTCCAGAGCTACTGAGTTCAGTCGGGTTTCCAAAACTGGTCAACACTCCGGCGCTGAAGACAGGTCTGGTCGCTGCTTAAGTAGGGAGGTCTCCTGATGAGCTGATGATCCTCAGGTGTGTAGAAGGCTCCAGCTCAGGAGCCCCACAGCGCTCTCTGCTGGAGACAGGTGGCAGATCTCCAGATCCCATCAAAAAAGATCGTTTACAGACCCCCGAAACGCCGGCTTCGTATGGATGAGAGGCTGGTTTGGTGAAAAATTTGTGCGTTTAGGCCAGGGTTTGACTTCGTGTGGACGGGGCCTGAGTAATGCCCAGGCATCTGGCTGTATGAAAGTATGTACTTTATTGTCATTTTCTATACACAGAGTGCATACAAAACAACATTTTGTTTATACAGCTTTCTGACAGTGAATGAGCAGCAGCTTAACAATGAAAAGAAAATTTCCATTCATAAAGTGCAGAGGTGATCAAATGTACATAGTGTGGGAGAGGGGTGGTGCAAAAAGGCATTGGTGTGGAAGGTTCAGAGCAGTAAAAAATAAATAAATAGATATGGTGCAAAATGCAGAAAAAAACATTTGAGTTGAGTTCTATTTTGAAGATTCACCATACTTACAGACAACATGCTGTGTTCACAATGTTACAGGATTGATAAGGATATAATGATTAAATATTATTTGTAATATGAGCTACTTATTAGTAATAGAAAACAAGAAGCTGTAATGGAATAATTTAATGAGCTCCCCTGTTACAATATGAAGGCAGACAAAATATCAGTTATAGTGGGAATGAAAGGTTTAACGTGCAAATCCTCACTTTGAATTGGAGATTGAAGAAGTGCAAGTCTGCTGCAGAGGTTTATTGTTCTCACCGGAGGAGCTAGCACAGCCGAAACACTGGGCCACAGTCTGATCTATAGAGTAGCTTGCAGGGAATCTGACCCAGGATGTGAGGCGTTGGCTGCTGACACAGCTCAATCAGACTGCTGCTGGGAGGGGAGGCGATGTCCCTCCCTGGCTCCATCATGTGCATCACTGGCCAACCACAAACACAAACACACAGCAGAGGTTCCTAATGCTTCACAGGAAGCAGCAACGTTCTGGCATCTTATTAGGAGCTGTTCTTTTGACTTTACGTTTGTCCTTTTATGACCGAGCCAATCAGGGATCAGCCCTTTGTTTTTCATTGTATTTACCTTTGTTGTCCTTCTAGGTAGATGCATTTATGTGGCTCTTAGCTCCTTTTGCTCTGGTAAGTGTAAATGTCCCAGTTAGCATTACAAGTTAGCCTCCTGCAGCAGGAAATCTCTGCATTAGCGCAGCACACACTCCCCTCCCCCTGTTGCCATCATGCTCTCTCTCTCATTCTCTCTCTTCTGCTGTCGCCCCTCCTCTCCATGTGCAGACAAGGCAGCATGTCCAATGTGTGTGTGTGTGTGTGTGTGTGTGTGCATGCGCAAAGAGGATTAGGATGCTGAATGCTGGAGCAAAGAGCTGCAAGGTGACTGAGGGAATGGAGAGGCAAACAGAGCCGTGACGATGCGGTGCCTTCGTCCTGAGCATCCTCTCCTATCCACATCCATCCATCCCTCTGTCTTTCCTCTCCCCTTCTCTCTTTCCAGACCGAGGTGGACCGCCTACCCGGCTTGCAGCGTCTCTTCCTCCGCTGCAACAACATCCTCAGGTAAGAGCCGGCATCATTTAACTCCCTCATTCCCACAGAGCTGAGACAGGGATGGTGGCGTGACAGCCGCAGCACACGCCATCTCTGTATTCTTCTTGTGTGTATTTGAAAGAATTTGGATGAGACAGTTGTGATGAATGGCTAAACTTTTCAAGCAACCCAAAAATGCAGTCTGAGAAATGGTAAACCAGGTGTTATAAGGACTTTGAGATTAAATACTGAGGATTTTATGGGTTTAATAAACAGCCCACTTTTTTCCCCCAAGAAAATATTCTTACCATCAACCCCTTATGTTGTAAAAAGCGGTACCTCAGAGTTACTTTGTCAGAGCCATGCAGCCTCCTTGGGATGTGGGAGTCATGGTGGGACAGCCGTCTTGTCCATGTTCACCTTGTGCTGTTAGATCTGACCTGACATCTCTTGCCGGCTCTGCTGTTCAAGTGTCAGCATGATTCAACATCAGGCCAAACGGTCAGCAGCCAATGAATGCAAATCCTCAGAACAAATAAGAACAGATGCTCAGTTAGAAAGAAATAAGCGCAACTTAACTTCTCAGTCTCATATTTCTTTAACTACATTGTTGAGGGACATTGCTGGGATTAAAGAAAGTGCTTCTGTATAAAAACCTACTGTAATAATATTAAACCTGACTTAGAAGCTTACAAATTGTTCACTGCTGGGAGGACGACAGTTATTCTCTGTTGCTAGGTAGATAATTAGAGCACAGTCATCTCTTTGGTCTGCAGACTTTAACCAGTAGAAGATCTTTGAACAGAAATCCAACCAAACAGGGATATCAAAGCTTTCTGTTAAATCTGAAAATATAAGTTTTATATTTAAGCTTTTTTTTTATCTTAGGTTTTATAAGTTTAAATAATTTTTTCTTCATATAGGTTTTACATCAGTTTCACATTTGTTATTTTAAAACCTGTAGTTCTTGTGCAGAGATTTGTGAATATCTACAAACTCCATAACTCAGGGGAGCGATAAAGCCTGATGAGAGTCAATCCCTGTAAAGATCTTTGCATCTGAAACTGGCTAAATTACAGCCTTTCTAGTTATATTATCTATAAGCAGCTTTTTTGGAAGAGATGTGTATATTTAAACAGGCCCTAACTCAGTTTAAAAATTAAAACTAATTAATTATAACGATTCACAAAGGGATGTATTTCATTTGTTTGCTTCTGTCTATATCTTCTCAAAGCAAAAAGTTCAATTTATCAGAAAAATAGAATATTACTAAATTATTGCTTATTAGAATTAAATAAAGCAGAAACTGAGATGACAGTTGTCCGATAAAAGCTAATACAGCTAGCTTTGGATAAGAAAGTCTCTTTAAGGTCACCAGGAATGTTTCCAGTTGGTGAAAATATCAACTACTTTATTACTGGTGTTTTTAAAATCATTTTAGCCGTCTACCAGAAATATGTTCAGCTCTTTGCTTTTTAAAAGAGGACTTATTAAATTTTCAGTTCCAGTAGGATTATGAAGAAGAAAAACAAAACACAACAATGCAGATAAAAGTACCTGCACATCCTAAACACTCCAGCAGAGTTACAGGCTGATTGCCTCAATGTCTCAAAAACCTCATGTAGTAATTAATAAAAAAAGACCCCAACCAAGTATTAACTGCATTTATACTGAGCAATACATGGACACGCTTTTCAGTAAGACTGCATTTCTGCATGAACAAAAAGACTTAATTTTTCTAATGTGATGTTCTAATTAACGGGGAAAACTAATTTGGATTTTATAAAGCTGTAAGCCATAAATATATATTATAAAAATAACCAAAATATGTCTATCTTTTCTAATTAATTAAGATTGTAATATGTTTTAGCATTTAATTTATATAATTTCAAAATAGAAATGTATTAATATTTAATAGGTTTTTGCCTAAAGTTAAATAATAGTGACTTATTTTTTTATGAATGGACTTTAATCTTAAATGAGGCTCAGTGAAACCTGAACCGACCCTAAATAATGGATCGTACAGATTCACAAACGCTTGTCATGTTAAGATTCCTTTCATTTAGACTCTGATCTCTAAAGTTTTCTGTCATTTGATAAAATAAACACAAATCTTTAAAAATTCATGGGAGACATTTGTGCTGCAGTGATCATGGTTTTAAGAAGGTATTATGGAAAAAGAACAATGAAAGGATTTTAACTTTTATAGGCATGAACTCAATCAATCAATCAATCAATCAGTCAATCAATCAATCAATCTTTATTGTCAACTACAATTTACATTGCAATCGAGATTTCAGTTTCAGTACAAACCGTTCATCACAATACATCGCATACATTGGGGTGGGGGAGCTGAGAGGGGGAATGGATCTACTGAGGCCATGCGTGCCGCACAATGTTGCATTTGGTGGGTTCTTATGGCTTGCCAGGTTCCCATCTGTTACCTGGCTGCCCAGGTCCCAGGTATCTATAGTGCTGCCTTTATCTCTGTGGAAAGATAGGAGCCACATTGGGGATGAGAGGGAAAAAGAGCATATTTCACACTTTATCCTTCACAGGATACAGTTTTACATATCAAAAAACCTCAGCACAAATAAAGCACATGTAACACGAGACAGAGATTTCAGCAGAGGGACACATCGGAGGCAGAGTCACATGAAGTCAGTATGACATTTGAGACATTAGTTGTGTGTGTATGAGGAATGCTTTAAATATGTCAGTGAATGACCACAGTCCATTGTCCTTGATGAGATGGAAGTTTATCTACAGTTCTGAGCGCATCCATGGATGTAGGGGATGGGGGAGCAGTTCTTCGGTACCCTTTCTCCATAACATCCAGGGTAGATTAGATAAAGGGCGGAGGCAGAGTACAGAATAACACTTATTGTTATGAGAGCAGGCTGCACAGGAATTTTTCATCAGCCTTTAGTCTTTGTCTTGCTGGCTCTACGTTGTGAGACTCATATTCCATATTTGTTGGGCTTTTCCGCCTTAAAGGAATAGTACACCCAAAACATGATTAGCCTTCATTTTCTACTCACCCCCATGCTGAACAACACTCTGGAGTACTTTTTTGATATCTCAAATGCATCTGGAGATCTGGGAGGCTTCTTGCTGTCTGCTGACATTCAAATAATGGAGGTCTATGGCGCCCGAGGCAGAAGGTCCATAAAAGTCCACAAAAACATGTCAGTATTCCTCCATACTGCTCGTCCAATGTATTCCAAGTGTCCTGAGTGGGTAGCGTCCATAATTTTCTCGAAACTAAGTCATTTAGAATGTTTTTAGAGCATAAACAGTAGTGTATAGGATTTCCTAAAAGCGCGTTCGCGAGTCTACGGAAACCGCGGCAGACCAAACCAGACGAAAGTGCGCATTCAGCGTCTGCTCTGCCGATAATGCAAGCGTAGAAGAAGAAATGTGCTGTTTACCTGTGCAAAGAAAGAAACAACGAAAGAAAAATGTCTGAGGACTTCAGTGTTGAGGAAGAGCATGAGTTCTTTGCCGAGCTGAATGCGCACTTTCATCTGGTTTGGTCTGCCGCGGTTTCCGTAGACTCGCGAACGCGCTTTTAGGAAATCCTATACACTACTGTTTATGCTCTAAAAACATTCTAAATGACTTCGTTTCGAGTAAATTATGGACGCTACCCACTCAGGACACTTGGAATACATTGGACGAGCAGTATGGAGGAATATTGACACGTTTTTTGTGGACTTTTATGGACCTTTCTATGGGGCCAAAATGGTAGCTTTAATATTTGCAAATGTGTGTGGAGAGTTGTGTGTCTGTATCTCGATTTGTGTGTGTGCAGTGGGATTTGAAAATGTGTAAATAAATCTGTAAATGTGTGAGGAGATTTGTGTGTCTGTACAACAATCTGCAAATGTGTAAAACTACTTGTGTGTAATCCGTTTTGCAAATGTGTAAAAAATCCACAAATCTGTATTCAGATCTGCAAATGTGTACTGAGACTTGCAAATGTGTAGATCAATCTGTAAGCACACACAGAGACACTTGTGTCTGAAGTATTTTCGCTTCAAGACCCAGAAATACAGACAAATCATTGGTTACAAGTCAAGCGGTTTTTCGGTTGGCTCTCTTTACACACGTGATTTTTGCTACTCTTCTGCCGTGTGAGATGCACAAATGCGTAGAAGGATTTGTATGTGTATTTTCGCGATTTGTAACCCCTTGCGCAGGCTCGCAGGCTCACATGCTGCCCTGACCCCAGGCTCACAGGCTCACAGACAGCCTCTACCTTTTTTTTTCCTCCGCTGCGGGAGTTGACGTGACAAGGATGATATATTGATACCATTCAGTAAGGAAAAATTTAATCTATTATTAAACAAAAGGTTACGGAAAGATGGCAGAAGCTGTGGGAAGAGCATAGAACTGGAAGTTGGCTTTATAGTATTCAAAGGAAAATTGGTGCAATGAGGAGAACGGAAAGGAATAAAAAAGAGGTTATATCTAGATTAAGTTTCGGAAACACGGGGTTAAATGGAAACTTATTTAGAATGGGAACAGGAGGTTGTGGTTTTTGTTATCAAGGGGAGACGGTGGAGCATGTCTTGTTGTTTTGTTATAAATATTCTATAGGCTCACAGACAGCCTCTCTCTGCTGCGGCAGTTCAGCACAACTTGCTTCACATACAGCCACATACCACCAGTTGGCGGTATTGTATTGCACAGTACGTGACGTTACTGGGGTCCTAGGGGTTGTACCTGCTAAGTTGAGAGCAATGGAATCCCGTCAGCTTTCTGTAAGTATATTTCTTTAATTTTTTCTATAGTTTGCATTAGTAAAACTGTTTTTACTAAACTGTATAACTAGATATAACCTCTTTTTTATTCCTTTCCGTTCTCCTCATTTCACCAATAGGGCTCGGGATCCACGTTGCATTGTGGGACGTCGCGGTCATATTGACGGCTACGCAAACGTAAACATAGCTCTGATACAACGTTGTTGTTGAAAGAAGAGACGTAGAAGTAGAGAGAAAAAAGATGTCAAAATCCCGAAAAAGATCTGGAATTTACCAGGACACATTAAATAGAGAAGCCTCGGACCGGTATGTTGACAAAATCAGCATTATTAATAATTTGGATCCATATAAAGTTCCAAACAATGAGTGGAGCACCGATGAGTGAGCGCCTATACTTCAAAACAGTTCCGAAGCTACAAGTCCTTGGAGTCTCATGTGCAGTTCATGAATGGATGGGTTCAGGAGCTGCAGATCATAAAGCCAGCAAACAGTGGGAACACAGTAATCCGTACGAAGGTAAGCTGTGATCAGACGGGCTCTGGAACCTGCTAGTTTAGCAACCGCTAACTGCTAATCCTAACAACCACTCACGCATGTAATGTACTTTTAACTAGCTGCTATGTGTTTCAAAGGTGTAGTTAGTAACGTTAACTGCCAACCCTCCGGGTTTCTCACGTATTTGAGCCTTTTCCCGCTGCCGTTTTTATTGTTTTCCCGTAAAAGATCCCAACTTTGAAGGAAAGAAACAAAGTAGGCTATAAAATAAAAGCGTGCATCTTTACCTTACCAGAATGAAAATGCAGGGAACACACTCTCATTGACATTGGAATACTGTGGAAAGTTATGTTCGGTCGTCTTACAGCCGCGATCCAAGCTAGCCGACGACTCTTTTTCTCTGACGCTTGGTCTCCATGGTTACGCCTCCAGGCAGGAAAGCGGTGGAAAGTTAACCCATTTTCTATGTTTTTTCCATGGCGATCATGTGTTGAGCTGTTACAGCCCACAATACAGCAACGGTTTACCATGGTTGAAATCAAGTTAAGGTCAAATTAATCAGGCTGAGAAGGAGTACAGTATGTGGTAGTCATAGGCAGTAGTCTGAGCCGCGGTAAAAGAGGCCGTCAATATGGCGGCAACCTAAACTGCTTACGTCATGACGACCAAGCCCTATTTTCCTTTGAATACTATAAAGCCAACTTCCAGTTCTGTGCTCTTCCCACAGCTTCTGCCATCTTTCCGTAACCTTTTGTTTAATAATAGATTAAATTTTTTCCCTACTGAATGGTATCAATATATCATCCTCGTCACGTCAACTCCCGCAGCGGAGGGAAAAAAAAGGTAGAGGCTGTCTGTGAGCCTGTGAGCCTGCGGTCAGGGCAGCATGTGAGCCTGCGAGCCTGCGCAAGGGGTTACAAATCGCGAAAATACACATACAAATCCTTCTACACATTTGTGCATCTCACGCGGCAGAAGAGTAGCAAAAATCACGTGTGTAAAGAGAGCCAACCGAAAAACCGCTTGACTTGTAACCAATGATTTGTCTGTATTTCTGGGTCTTGAAGCGAAAATACTTCAGACACAAGTGTCTCTGTGTGTGCTTACAGATTGATCTACACATTTGCAAGTCTCAGTACACATTTGCAGATCTGAATACAGATTTGTGGATTTTTTACACATTTGCAAAACGGATTACACACAAGTAGTTTTACACATTTGCAGATTGTTGTACAGACACACAAATCTCCTCACACATTTACAGATTTATTTACACATTTTCAAATCCCACTGCACACACACAAATCGAGATACAGACACACAACTCTCCACACACATTTGCAAATATTAAAGCTACCATTTTGGCCCCATACCTTTCTGCCTCGGGCGCCATAGACCTCCATTATTTGAATGTCAGCAGACAGCAAGAAGCCTCCCAGATCTCCAGATGCATTTGAGATATCAAAAAAGTACTCCAGAGTGTTGTTCAGCATGGGGGTGAGTAGAAAATGAAGGCTAATCATGTTTTGGGTGTACTATTCCTTTAAGGCGAGCGCGCACATCCAAGATATTATCCCATCTGACCTTTGAGTTCAACCACCGCAGCCTGCCTGCGTTCAATCGCACCCAGAATGCGGCTCATCTCCCGATCATGCTCATTCACAGCCTTTGTGAGTGCATCAACTGGCAGCGGTTGAGGGGCTGATCAATGCCCAAATTGCCGCCGACATCTGCTGTAATTGTAGACACATCAGGTATCCCCCAAATCCAAACAGGAGAAATCAGAGTATCATAGAACCAAATATCCATACATGTTCAGTATCCTCCACTGTCAACATTGTGAAACACACCATCCTCCAAGCCTTCCAGGAGTCCATGGTGTATCCCACAAAGTATCTCCCGGCAGGACAGGAAGGGGCCCCTTTTCCCTGTCTTCCAGTTGAGAAAATTTGATCAATTGAATTGAGAGACCAGCTGACTAGATCTATTTTTTGAGTTTGGGTGGTATGAAGAGAGAGGTCAGAAAAGACAAGACAAAGCAAAGCATGGACAGATCAGGGAGGAGCAGGAGCAGCAGAAAAATGCGACCGCCTCCTCAAAGAGTCAGTACAGAAAAAAAACAGATGAAATCTAAATAAGTTTTACAAACAATTAAAAAAAAAAACAGAATCAAATTCCATTTTCCCCCAACTTTTCATGAAGTAAATAGGAGGAAAGGTCATTATTTAACCTACCTCAGACTGCATGCAGGGTACATTGGTTTTATAATATTGTCATGTCTCTGCTTCTCTAGATCTAAACATGCTCCTTTATGATATGAAGACTGTGAAGGATGTAGTTCTCTTTCACTTCAATGTTAATTACAGGATGCAGCTCTATTATTTAGGCATAATCTAAGGCTCAGTGGTTGAAGTAATGACAGATTGCATCTAAGAGCTGAATATTTTCTTCTTTCTGTCTAGTTTTGATCAGCTAGCCTGCCTTGGAGAGTCTCACTCCCTTTCTGAGCTCACCCTGGATGGGAATCCTGTAGCCCTGGAGACATGGTACAAGCACGCCGTCCTGCGCTGTGTGCTTCACCTGAGACAGCTGGACATGAAGCGCATCACAGTAAGAGTCACCGTAGATTTTTAAGGCCTTTATGGTTTAATGGAACAAAGAGGAGACTGGGGCTTGAGATGCACATTAAACTCAAAGTATTTCACCAAACATGCTGCTGGTTTATGAACCTATACGAAGGAAAAAAGTGGGAATTCTTATATTGATACTTTTCTTGCCTAACGTTGAAGTTTTGTGAGTCTATATTTGTCCGCCTTCCAGGGATCCAAAGTAAGTTTTTAGTTCAGCATTTAATTGAAGTATATTGGCTTTTATATTGGAGCTATTACATTTATGCATATGGGCATTTTCAAACAAATTCTAGCAATAAAAAAAAGACTTGAAGACCTAAAATTTTTTCTCTTACTAAGGATGAAACAGCCCCTCATATTGTAGCTTACCTTGAATGTTGCAAACTAAATAAATAAGATTTTGATTTCAATAAAAAAAAAGAAAACACATAAATACAAATCCTTTGTATTTTTGCCCCATGGCAGAGACGTGTTAAGCAGTGTAGTGTTAGTATGCATTTAGAAGCTGTCAAGGAGGGAGCACCCAGGTCTGAGCTTGTACCTGAAAGGAATCTGACAGTACCACACACCTTGCCCTCAAAACATCATTTTGATACAGTGAAAAAAATACTTTAAACCCTTTTTTCAGATTTCACAAGTCTAGAGTTACTAAGATTTGCCAGTTTTATGATTTCTGTGGTTTATAAAATGTCTTCAGCGTCCTGCTGAGTCAGTTTCTTTTTTCCAGCAATTAAAGGCACACTATGCAACATTTTTCAGTTAATTAATGTGTTCCATAACGTTTTGGATGATTAAATGAGTCATTTCAGGTTGAACAAAGGTATTCTCGGCCGCCCTGGTGGTCTGTGGGGGAAATACCGCACTTGCAATTGCAGGAGCACCGACCCGCACCCACAGGCTCAGAAGTCTCGCGAGAGTCGGTCTTGCTTTACGGCGAGAACTGCTACACGCCCCCAGTTAAAAGCATGCTCGTTGCTAGCACAGTGGCGATCTTTGTGCAGTTATGCTACGTTCACACCGGATGCAGCAAAAGCAGCAAAATCGCGTCTGCTGCTTCATTTTTGCTGCTTGTACCAGTTAGTTCTGACGCGCGGCTGAAGCAGCTTTGCTGCTCTGGCTGCGCAAAAGTGTGTCTGACACACGTTGGGCGGAGCTTCTCTATCCTTTCTCTGCCTTGCAGCTATATTTGCTGTGATCAGTGGGAATAAAGTAGTTTTAATATGTTTTTAAGTGAGAAAATCCACCTGAAAACGTAATCAGTGCCGTCAGTTCATTCAGATTATCATCCTGCCTTACAATATTTTTTCTGTCGGAGCCGCTCAGACCCCCACATACCAGCGGTGCGCCGACAGTAGGAACCCCTTCATCAGCAGCCTCTGGCCGGGTCGCCTCCTCGCGGTTCACCGCAGCAGCTGGTAGGTGTTTTTCATCTAAATAATCCAAACTGCATATTCTGCCGGCAGATTTCTGCATTTTAAGTTAATTTAGGCGTCAATAAACTGTTTCAGAGGAGTGATCATAGCCTCTGATCATCAGCGCTGTGTCTCTCTCCCTGCCAGCTCCCAGATCAGCTTCTCTGATTGGTTGACGCAGCGCGTCGAGCAGCAAAAATAAAATTTTTCCATCTCGCAGCAGCAGCGCGTTTGCGGCGCGTCAGATGCTTAGTCATTCGTTGCGTTCGCGTGTCTGCTAAGCTCAAAACAACCGCGCCTGGCTTGACGGAGAAACCAGGAGAACAGCTGTTCATATTTACGACAGTGCACTTTTACTTTCGCCCTCCGGGGGGAGCCTCGCTGGAAAATCAACACCGGTTGCATAGTGTACCTTTAAATCTTTTTATTGAAAATGATCTAAACTATCTTCCACCTGAACTGCTTTGGAAAAGCATTCCTCCTCTGCACTATGCTGTTACTAATCTGTCAGACGTAAGGCTAGCTGCTGGTAGAATAGATCATAGTTCTGATAAAAAAGACAATAATTTCAGTTCAGAAAAAGGGGAAAGTGAAGTTTAAGCATATTGTGTGCTTTATTTGTGAAGTTATAATAAAATATTAACCTTAGCATTAAATGTACGGTTGTGCTCATAGGTTTACATACCCTGGCGGAATTTTTTTCAGAGAATATAAATGAAAAAAAAAACACCAAAACTGTTTTTCACTCATGATTAGTGGTTTTATGAAGCCATTTATTGTCAAACAACAGTTTTTACCTCTTTCAAATCATAATGAGATCAGAAACTACCCAGACGTTCTTGATCAAAAGATTCCATACCCCAGCTGATAGATCATTGTCATGCTGGAACATCCAAATACATCCCATGCGTAGCTTCTGGGATGATGAATGAAATTTGCCTCCAGGATTTTCCGGTAATGTCCTACATTGATCCTGGCATCAACTTTACCAAGTCTTCTGTGCCTTTGTAGTTCCTGCATCCCAAAAACCTCAGTGGTCCAACACCATGTTTGACAGTAGGATTGGTGAATCTTTCACCATAGGCCATGTTGGCCTCATGCTCTTGGCCTCATTGATCCAATTGAGTTTTGGTCCAGAAACGTTGAGGCTTGTCTTTGTGCTCTCATTAGTTAAGAGGGCACTTTGTGGTATTTGTGTAATAAATGCTTTCTTCTGGTGACTCATCCATGCAGCACCTTCACTTTAAGTTATTTTTGAATTTTTCTTTGCCTTCAAAACAATTTTCCCGACCTTTAAACACACCCTGATCATGGTGTGGATGGTTACCTTCTGGTAGCCATTCAGACTTGTTTGTGTTTATTAGTGTTATTATTAATGTGTTTTATTAGAAAAATACAATTAGTATACTTTTCTTTCAGTTTAAAAAAGGCACCCTTTCTTGTGTTCGTTTGACATAAAATCCCAATAAAAACTATTGTTGTTAATGTGGTTCACATTTAAAGAAAATGTGAAAAATTTCAAGTATTATTAATAATTTCATAAAACACCGTATTTGTTTTTTACTTTCATAAACCACCCAAATATACAGTTTATAACTGCGCGGGATTCATATTTGTTCTCATCCAGGAGGAGCAAAGCCTGTATAGTCAATGACGAGATGCAGTCATTGAATCTTTTTAAACAATCTGTCTGCCTGATCTGATTGAATGGACTCATTAAAGGGCTTTGAGATGACATGCGCTGTCAATTGATGCTATCTTGATAAACTGAATTAAAATTAAGTTGAGTATCGGAAGATGCCTTCTAAGGTTTCCGCTTTTTTAGATCTTTCTAAAAAAGAAAACTACTGAAAAAAAACTTATGTTTTTGAAAAGAGAATTAAAGAAATTAATTTGCACTTAATTTAAGTGAAACGTTGTAATCATTTCCTCTGTCTCAGTGGATCAAACTCTGTTGTGCAATCGGAAGCTCGTCTCTGACTGCTTGTCTTTTAAAGCTGAATATCCCCTCGCTCTCAGCCAGCACGCTCAGATTGTGTCGGAAGCATTGCATTCTGGGAGTTCTGTCTTTCCACAACAGCTGGGCTCAGTTTATCTGAAACTGGAAATCAGACAGATAATCCTGTGATGGAGTCGGCTGGTGTTAGGATCCCTCGTCTGCTTCTATAGTGCCTCCATCTCTGGTGCTGTGGAGAGTCTCTCAGACCCAGAATGTCTCTTTTGTGACCCCCCCACCCCACCCCAGGCTCTGTTGAATAATTCACAGCTCGTTATTAAAGGAGCGTCTCAGTGATTGCACCAGCTTTCTTTTTCAGGACGAGGATCGGCGCATGGCAGGTGTATTGACACGAAAAGAGGAAGAAAAGAAGAAGGAGAGTCAAAAGCAGACCATTCATAAGGTACCAGTTATTTCTACTTTTATCTGGTTTTAAATATCTGTCTGAACTGTGCAAGCTCACATGCAGTATATATATGTAAAACAACGCTATTACTATCTCAGGTTGCAGAAAATAATAAATGACAAGTGACCAGTTTTTGTTTTGCTTGTTTTTGGTGTAATATTTAATATTTGAAAAACGTTTTTTTTTGTTTTTTCTTTATAAACAAGAACATCTTAGGGCATATATGACAAGACACTGGCAGAGTGGTGGCTGTTTGGGGCACTATATGTGATCTCTGAAGAGAGATCTCTGAGATTTCTGAACAATTGTCTTAGTTTTGAAGGGACTGATCCTTTCAACCAACCCACTAAACCACCCAACCATCTTTACTTTTGACTAAAAAGTAATTTTCCTTTAAAATAAGGTCTTAACTTTCCAAACTTAGCAGCAGCAGCAGCAGCAGCTGGAAGGTTTGTGTCATACTTAGTTGTTCAGTAAAGAATCTCAGGGTTATTTTCTGCAGGACTGTCTTGCACTAGTGCAAAGTGTTCTTAAGTTGTGAATTTTGCTGCATTATTTTTGCAAGCAAAGAAGATGTTTTGTACGGTAAATGGAAATTTAAATAAATACATGTTGTAAATTGAGATTTGAAAAGTTCACTCTAGAAATAAAACATACAAAAATTTTGTGAGTAACTTTGCTCTTTTCTCAGATTTGGTTTTTTCTATTTTTTTTATTAATTTTTTTAAAATTAATTTTTAAAGATTTAATTTTCTCTACTTTTTTCCCCCCATTTTTTCCCCCAGATATATTTCTATAAATTACATTTAAATTATGGTTTACAGACTCTCTTCACTTCTGCTCAGATGTTTTCCTCTTTAGCAAGTAGAGATTTCTATTGGTCAGCTTGGATGTTAGCAGAAACATTTGTTTTCATTCAAGAGTGAACATTTGTATTCAGTGAAGATATTATGATCTGTGTCACATAAGAAAATCTGAGAAAACAGCAAACCTTTTCTGAAAATGTCCTTTTTTTAATTCAAATTTCCATCGACAAAATGTGCTCTTTGTTTGCAACCGTAATGGAACAAAACTGGCTTCACATGTGCTGTTCTTTGTGGGTGTAGAGAAATCAGTGTACGAACAAAACTATTCTATCCACATTATTTAGCCTTTAGCTAGCTGTTATGGTGAGACAGTGTGATACGAGGGGCAGTAGGGCAGAAGGAAAGGAATCATGAAGACAGCACAGGGGATCGGTTTATGCTGCAGGACGTATGGCTGCAGATCCCACCCACCTGGGCAAAGTGCTGTTTGTCCCACTTCCATAAGGAAATGATTCAGGAACTCTGCATCCAACCACATTGACTCAGGAACAGCTTCTCTCCTAAAGCTAAATGACAATAAAGTCTATCTAAGTCTAAGTCTAAAGCTGTAAAGGAATTTGTCCTCTAGCAGGCAGACGCTAAACATCCCCCAAGGAAAAATCCAAGAAGCAGCCCATTTCATAAACTGTTTCAGCACCAGCTGCAATTTATATAAATATTACTGCAGATGCCATATTTCATGTATAAAGTATGTTCTTATTTTACATCAAGTATTCTTTAAGGATGCTTGCTATTCATCTCTTTGTCATTATTTGTCGTTCTTAGCTTATGCCTTTGCATTATATGTGCAATTATGTCCCAGAAGGATGTAAATATGGAGACAGAAAGACAAAAAAGACTCCTGTTTATTGAGTAATTTGCCGTTTTTGAACCTTTTTAAAGATGAATGTCAAGTTTAAGGTAATACCAAAGCATCTCAGTCCAAAGACCGATGCGAGATCGGTTTTCTGCTCCCACTTGTCAGCAGTCTTTAAGTGTCTATCCTCAGGTGGTATATTATCTTAATTATAAATATTGCTTATATTTTCAGAAATCTTTTGGTTTTTTCCAAATGTGACTAAACTTTATTTTTTATGGCATTTGAATCTCTAGAGATAGTTTGTATAATGTTGAAAAGCGGCGCTCCAGGAAAAGGCTTCTTTCTCAGGCTTGATTTCATGATCTGTTTCGGTGAGTTTTATCAATCATCTCTTCATCTGTGAATGTGCCGCTGACAGCATTCAGTCAGAATGTCCCCCCTGGCCGCATTAAATTAAAAACAAAATAATAATGGCTGCTGGTTATCAGTATGTTTGTTTATCAAGCCTCAGCGCTTTTAGGGAAACTCATCTGAACTTTCCTAAAATATGGTCAATAAATTTTGTTCAGATGAGCTTAAATATTCAGTCTTCTGGCATTTTTCCTTCCAAGAGATAATGTGTGTGTCAATGAATCTGAGCTTTCCAAAGCTGATAGATTTGCATATTCTTTCTCTCTAGATTTAGTGTATAGCAGATTCAAAGACATATAAACTAAAAATGAGCTCTGATTCTGCAGACAAGAACTAAATGATTGTACTTTATTCTGCAGAATGAGCTAAATGTAACACCAGACTATAAACAACTGAACCTTCTTTGCCTTCTGTTTAGTGTGCTTGAGTAGTCAAACCTCCTGTGTTTGTATATTTGATCTAATTATCAAGGAGAAGCGGCGTCTAGCGATCCGTAATGCAGCCCAGCAGTGGGAGGGCGTCAAGGCCTGCTTGGAGCCGCCTCCAACAAACGGCTCCAAGGAGGAAGCTAGTCCAGAGAACAGCCCCACTCACAGCCCCGCACAGACCAATGGCCTTGGACAGGAGACTTCTCCAGAGGAACCAAGGTGGATACAGCTTCTTTTTTTTTTTTTTTCTGTTAGGGAGGGCTGATATTTTACCCATTGTTTTTGCATAATAGTAGATTTGTGGGGAGCTTTGGAAATTATTTTATAACCAAGCCTGCTTCAACCTTCTGCTCAGATTCATCCGTACCCCTTTCTTTTGTTGCTCTATCTGAGACCATAGCAACACAACTGTATTTAAACAAAGATTAGGATCAGTAGTGAAGGTGACTGAAGGTGTCAGCTTGTATTTAGGGCCATCAAAGTAAAGAGAGCATGCACACAAACAGCACTACATTTTTAAGTTTGACTTGTAAGAAACATTTTTGGGATGCACTGCGCAAACATTTGAAAAGAAGTTCAAAACTCTTGAATAATTGCTACGATGTATATCTTAGTGGTTCTATTGTATACATTTATTTTCTAATTGTTATGATATATACTTTAGATAGTGGTTCCAGTTAAACCTAAATAAATCTCCCTAAAGAATAGGTTGTTTATAGCTTTTTTATCACGATATAGTTTAGCTGATTTTTTTTTGTTGGGGGGGGGGCTTAAGACATAGCTTGTCACAGAAATTAATTAAATAAGCCAATGAGATAAGGTTACAAGTAAAGGAAGGCAGTACACTCTACTGCTCTACTGCATGTAATTGCCATGACACACAAGGATATAACTGTTGGTACACCTCGTTAAGTTAAAGAAAAACCCACAATGGGTACAGAAACTTAATTCTGACTGATAAGAAAAACATTTTTTTTTTTAATTAACAAATGAAAACCAGACGTTCCTTTTCAAAAATACTTCAACCGAATATATACAAAAATCAACTCATGAAATAGGCCTGAAAAAAAAAAGATGGCACCCCCAGGGACGACTGGAAATACTGTGATCAAAGGGAGACATTTTATTTTCAAATGAAAGATACCAGTAATTCTGTGGAACTGTGAGATGAGAACATATTTCAAGGTTTCTTAAAACAAGGATTCATATAAATAGTGTTTTCATGTTTGATGATTTGTGCCTGTTTTTAACAGACGTGTAAGTCCAGGTTCAGGACCAGAACGTCCATCGGGGATAACAGAGAACAGGCTCCGCACCAACAGCCGTCCTAACAGCCCTCGAGATCCAAAGTAAGACAAAACGGCTTTCATGTTTTATCGCACCTCCAATTTCACACTACAGCACCGTTCACAGGTCCATTCAAATCTACTCATAAGACATTTAATCTGATTCGTTTTTTAGTACATTATTAGTACCAGTAATGGCTGATTTTAACAGCTGAGTTAGCAATAATCTAATATCTACAACAGCTGGTGTGTCCAACCCACTGTAAACTGTTTTGAGGAAACACAGTGATCCTGTTAGTTACCTGTTCAGGGCTGAAAGACCCTGGTTAGTCAGACACTTGGTGAAACGGATAGCAGATGTCTGTTGAAATGTTTAAAACAAGTTTTCTCCTGGGCTGAGATGAAAGCGAGGGCTGTCTGCATGAAGATTATTATATATTTCAGGTGATTGCTGCTCCTTTGCTGCTTCCCTAGTTTGGAGTCTAATGTCATTTCAGTGACATTGCTTAGCAGGTGGAGGTTCAGTAAAAAAGCAGAACCCACATCCCTCAGTCCAGTACGCTCTGATGATTTACAGGAACTACAGCTTTAGCATGACTGTTTGAAAACATAATTTTATTAAAGTCGTTGGGAAGTCACATTTAAATGTTAAATCATTCTGGCTTAAACATGTATATACACTCACCGGCCACTTTATTAGGTACACCTGTCCAACTGCTCGTTAACACTTAATTTCTAAGCAGCCAATCACATGGCGGCAACTCAGTGCATTTAGGCATGTAGACATGGTCAAGACAATCTCCTGCAGTTCAAAGCGAGCATCAGTATGGGGAAGAAAGGTGATTTGAGTGACTTTGAACGTGGCATGATTGTTGGTGCCAGAAGGGCTGGTCTGAGTATTTCAGAAACTGCTGATCTACTGGGATTTTCACGCACAACCATCTCTAGGGTTTACAGAGAATGGTCCGAAAAAGAAAAAACATCTAGTGAGCGGCAGTTCTGTGGGCGGAAATGCCTTGTTGATGCCAGAGGTCAGAGGAGAATGGCCAGACTGGTTCGAGCTGATAGAAGGGCAACAGTGACTCAAATAACCACCCGTTACAACCAAGGTGGGCAGAAGAGCATCTCTGAACGCACAGTACGTCGAACTTTGAGGCAGATGGGCTACAGCAGCAGAAGACCACACCGGGTGCCACTCCTTTCAGCTAAGAACAGGAAACTGAGGCTACAATTTGCACAAGCTCATGGAAATTGGACAATAGAAGATTGGAAAAACGTTGCCTGGTCTGATGAGTCTCGATTTCTGCTGCGACATTCGGATGGTAGGGTCAGAATTTGGCGTCTACAACATGAAAGCATGGATCCATCCTGTCTTGCATCAACGGTTCAGGCTGGTGGTGGTGGTGTCATGGTGTGGGGAATATTTTCTTGGCACTCTTTGGGCCCCTTGGTACCAATTGAGCATCGTTGCAACGCCACAGCCTACCTGAGTATTGTTGCTGACCATGTCCATCCCTTTATGACCACAATGTACCCAACTTCTGATGGCTACTTTCAGCAGGATAATGCGCCATGTCATAAAGCTGGAATCATCTCAGACTGGTTTCTTGAACATGACAATGAGTTCACTGTACTCAAATGGCCTCCACAGTCACCAGATCTCAATCCAATAGAGCATCTTTGGGATGTGGTGGAACGGGAGATTCGCATCATGGATGTGCAGCCGACAAATCTGCGGCAACTGTGTGATGCCATCATGTCAATATGGACCAAACTCCCTGAGGAATGCTTCCAGCACCTTGTTGAATCTATGCCACCAAGAATTGAGGCAGTTCTGAAGGCAAAAGGGGGTCCAACCCGTTACTAGCATGGGGTACCTAATAAAGTTGCCGGTGAGTGTAAATGTATTCTTTATCAGACGATATTGTACCAAAATTTAGAAAATTTCTATTTAAAAAAAAATCCTGCCTGTGGGTTTTTTGTTGTCATCTTATGCAGGCCAGTTGGTTGTATGTCAGCTTGAACACCTAAATTCGGCCAATATATCAACAGTCATCTGTCAAACACATTTTTTCAGTCATAGCATCTTGATTCATGTGTCGCAGCTAATATACGCAACGGTTGAAACCAGAATCCTTTCCTTTCCCATTGAGTTGCGTCCCAGTGTTCACGGGGATGGACGTCTGTGTCTTCGGCAGGCGTAGAGCTAACAGAACTGGCAGCGTTGCGAGGCAAGGGCTCAAACATGTACGGCTGGAAGCCTTCTACACCAAACCAAGCTTCTGCCGCCCTGGCGTCCTCTTCCACAACAGCTTCGTCCCCGCTTTCCTCCTCTAAATAAAAATGTATGATGGAGGAGACTCATCCACGACCTCCGACACAAAACTCTGCTCCTCTTGCATGTTTCCGCTGTCCATAGCGTTCCTTGACAGTGACTTGCACTGAGTTGCTAACTGGTTAGTAAGATGCTTCCGACAAACCGGCCACAACCAAACATGCTTGCGAACCTTCCGCCACCACAATCCCTCCCCCTTGATAGTCAACCAATCACATTCACTTTTTTCACTCGTGTAAAGTGGGGCACCACTCGATAGAATTCGACAATGCAGCGGTCGGAACAGCTGCTTCCCTATGACTTTAAAATCTAGCTTCAGGTGAAACTCAGAGGGTCAAAGTTTTATTTTCTTTAACCACTGTTGATTTGGTGTAATTCCTACTGAGTGTGGCCACCGCAGATTGTGAATAATTTCCTCCATATTTGTACCATCCTCCCCCACTAAGGGCATATATACTGTAGGTGATAAACAGCTCCCTCTATACAGATGTGTGAGTCATGGTAATTAGTTGATGCCAGGTTGCATTCTGCATCCAATCCTTGGAGAACTGAATTTCTAAGAAATGACTGATTTTGATAGTTCCTAGTAAGATAGTTACCTCAGAATGAATCTATAACTCTCATTGTTGGAATCACCACTTATAGATAAATCATTTGCTCTACAACATATTTTTTACTCTACATGATCCATTTCTTCATATTGTGTCTTGATGAAAGTTTTATTTTTCTATTACCTGTTCAAATGTACCCTAAATAAAAAAAAGACAATTATATTTTCCATTCCATCTAAAAGCAGTTTTAAAGTTACTTTTGGTTTGCATTTTGTTTCTTACAAGCAGAAAGTTAAACACATTTGACTGAGATTCAAAGTTATAGACTTTTCTATTAAATATCTAGAGTGTGGCGGGTGTGTGTACCCTGACTCCTTTTAAAACCTCTTATCACTGAAGTTATAGCTGATTGCCTTTTGGGTAATCCTTTTTACCCATTCTTTTTTAGCAAAATAACTCAAGATAAGGCTTTACTGACAATAGAAAAATTGTTTCTTTTGCTGGTTCAGTCCATAACAAAAGCAAACTTTATTTTCGTTTGTTGCGGTTTGTGTCCTTTTTGCAAGTGGAATGTAACTCACAGCAAGGCCAACCGTGTGATGACCTGTCTGCCTATGGGTCGGAAACGAAAATTGCAGGACAGGCCCAGAAATGGAGGGAAACTGCTTTGAGTCCTAAGCTTATATGCAGCTCCTCTGTTTAGCATATTTATGCTGTTATCAGAGCTGCAAAACCATCGTGATTGTAGACAACAAGAGCTGTTGTCTAAATTCACGCCTTTTCTCCAATATCCTGTCTGTTCTGGTCACATAAATGATTGCACTCGCTTCTTCACACTGGAAAGAACAGCTGGGAGGGATTTACATCAAATTTTACCAAAACAAGTTGTGGAAAGTTTGGAACAAACAAGGAATAACTCTGAACCTAAAGGAGTCTGGCTCCCTTTCTAAAACATCTTACACTGGAAAGCAGCTTCTCAGTTCTCAGTGCAAACTTTAGGCTGAGGGAGATCCCCCCTTGTTGACAGTAGCGTTGCTAAGCAACAGACAGCATAACAGGTATGATTTTCATACTCTGGCCTTTTCTCAATTCACAAGAATGCGAGTATTGACTCATGTGCTTGCCAAGTATGTTCTTGAGAAGAACAGAGGAAAGTATGGACTTGGGGAGAACGGGAGCACGCAGCATAAATATGGGTCAATTGGAACAGAAGCGTACTCCTGATGTCACCACATGCTTGGCTCGTCTGAAGCTGCATTTCATCTCCTATTATTAATAGTCTCTAGATAGTAATAAATTCTGACTGTTTTCATTTAGTGGGGGAATAATAATAATGAGCACAGTGAGATAAACACAAAACAAATCAAATCAAACTTTTTGCCAAATAAACCAAAAAAATTACCATCAGAGCCAGCGGTGCTTTACACACGGCTATGCTGAGAGAGTGCTGCTGCAGACGGGCACGGTTAGACTCAGAGGTCCGCTGGTTGCCGTGGTCCTCTCACCATCGAAGCTTTTTCTTAAATTATGCACTAAATCAGTAAATGGGCCATATAGTGACGCCTAAAAGTATAGTCTTGCCTTGATCCTTTGATCTTAAAACGTACTTTTATAGAACGACGGCAACAGAAAAGAGATTTTTTAACTTAATACCTGGAAGTTGCTGCTGCCGCAGTGCATGCTGGGAAAGCTGTCACTCTCAGAACAGACAAGTCTGCTTTGATGCATGCTGGGTATATAGGGAAGGGCAAGAACAACATCCGGGGACTTTGTCTGTTCTCGGCCTGCTGTTCTTGTGAATTGGAACAGTACTAGGGCTGAGGTTGATGATGTTTCAAGAGTACACAAGCACATGAGAACGCACAAGTACACATATTGAGAAACGGCCAATGTTTCCTGATACTGTGGCTTGCTAAGTTCAAAGGAACGTATGCTTTCTGTATTTGGGTAAGACTGAAGTTGGTTTGTACTCGTACCTAAGTGAACTGCAGTAGAGTCTGTTTGGAAGTGAATACAGTCCGTTTTTTTAGCCTTATCCAGAGTTTGTCTTTGTTTACTGCTTTAGAAATGGTACGGACGAAGCAGGGGGAAGAACTCTGGGGACTTAAGAGGACCAAATGTTTCAATGCAGAATATCAGTGAAGATTAATGTATTTCTTTTTTTTAATTATTATTAT